ATATTTTACAACTCAAGGAATTTCATACTAAACCAAGGTGCTTTTCAAATCAATATTAACTACCATTACTGGTTGTGATCAATGACTAATAAGAGTATAAAGTAGTTAGTATTTTGGAGCATCACTATCTTTGTTGTAGCAATGGATGTCCGCAACTTCAATATAAGCTCCTCTGCAAAGGCTATTTCATCTACAATGCAATGTAGGAACTTGTACAAAACCTCACTTGTTGTCAAGAAACAATCTGGAGGTACTATGGAGAGTGAAACAAGGACGTTTAATATTAGTGGAGGGAGATTAACTATAACGAGGCATAGCTAAGATAATTCTATTATTGATGTGTTGAAATAGGTGATTGAAGCTATTTTTGGGAAGTTTTTAGAAGTTTTTAAAATTAGAGTGAGGTTGGTGGTTCATGTGGAATCTATCATAGAACATCCTAGAAGAATTAAAGGAAATTATTTAGATAGAGCCTACTTCTAGAATCTTTTAAAAGAGTGATTATTTTGATAGGATCCACCATTATTGACATTCTAAAAAGTTTCAGGATAGTTGAACAAAATATAAATAGGATTGATTGAAGCCATTTGGAGCATTTGATTAGGTATGGCTTTGGTCTCTTTCTCTTAATAAAGTTTGGTTGTATTTTTTGTTTTGTTCTATTCTATTTCTTTTTTCTTTGTTTTGTCTTTCATTTTCTATTCTATTTAATTTTATTTACTTTTATTCTAGTCTATTTTTTCCTACTTTGTGATGGAATTTATGTTGCTATAGATCAGAAGGATTTAAGATTTTTAAGAGAATTTAGTCTCATTTCATCTTCTTATAAAAGTAGATAATAATTATTTTTCATATCTTGGACTTCCACAACATTTATTGTTGATCCTTGTGAAATTTATTCTTAAAAGAAGAAAGAATGTTATAAATATATTGATGTTAGAAATTATTCAAATAAAAAGAATTAAATAGAAATAAATAGAAATAAATAGAAATATATAAATATAATAATACCTTATGGAATAGCTTCTTAAAAGCTTTATAAATATGGATTTGACTTTACAAATATTTATAAATAATTAATAAGATAAAAACTTGACCAATTAATTAGTCATATATTACTATCATATATATATATATATATATATTATTTATTTATTTATTTATTTATTCTAATAATTATTTAGATAATATAAATAGATAGAAGTAGATAAAAATAGATAAATTTAATAATATCTTATAAAAAAGCTTTCTAAAAGCTTTACAGATATAGTTTCATCTTTATATGTGTTTATAGGTAATTAATAGGTTGAAAATTTGGCCAACAAGTAAGCCTCATGGCACACATGTTGGTAGCTTGTGGTATAATTTAACCACGTGATGGACATATAAGAAACTTTTCTTACAAGTTTAACATGTGTCATGCAAGTTGGATACCTATTGGAGGTCTTATAGAGCGTTGCAACATATCTCCCAGTTAGATAATATATATAGAAGTAAGAGTGAATGCTTCCTCACTATTATCAATTCCTTTCTTCTTTTAGTTTAGTTTCAAGAGTTTGTAGTTTTCTTATCTTTAACAATAATCATTTCAATTTTTTTTTGAATATGCATATTTTTTATTTTTAAATATAATTTTACTGTATATGATATTAAAAAATATTTCAATAAGAATATGTGACATAAATAAAATTTATTTAAAAAATAATATAATTAAAAAATTATAGTAAATTAGATACTTTTATTTTTATTATTTATTATTATATTTTTAAAAAATATAATATAAATTAATTAAATATATTTATTATAGTTTTTTTAATTTATTTTTATTTTTCTATTATAATCTCATATATCAAATAAGAAAAAAATTACTTCAAAGAATAAGTTTTTATATATATATATATATATATATATATATATATATATATATATTATTTATTATAGCTTAATATCTTTATGGCTTGTCTAAGAATTCTAGATTAGTCCTAGCATTTAAGTGGCTTTTCTCTTCCGTATTATTGACTTTATGCCCTAGTGCTTACATCTTTTAAATATTATTTTTTTAGTAATTGTTTTTTACTTCTTCTTCTTCCTCGTCTTCTTCTTTATATATATAGTCTTTAACCAACTTTTTTTTTATTTAGTGGTAATTTCTTAATGAAAAATGGCTAATAGATTAGATAATGTTACATGTGCAATGTTATATATATTATTACTACTTGGAATTAAAAAATTTATTTTTTTAAACGATTTTTTGTTTTCATTATTTTCTTGATTAATACCATTGTTTTTTTAAGATCTATTCATATTTTTGTCTTCATCTTTAATAATTTGTAGACATTATTATTTTTTTAATTATAGACTATTGAATATACTCTATCTTTTTTATATTCTATTATTTTTTTTGTTATTGTGTATTCACAAGATTTTGTTCTAAAATCAATTAATAAAATTTAATATAAAAAATCTTCAATTAAGCTTCTATTTTTACAAAAAAAGATTTAATAATGGTTAAATCTTGACTCACATTACTATTACATACTTTGGATTTGTTATAACATATAACCACCTTTGATTCAATGTTTTAAAAAATTATTGATTATTTTTAGCACTATTATATTTTTATTAAATTATTTTTAAAAACCACATAAATATAATTATTATTACTATTTTTGAATAAATTGATGAAAAAATTGTTTTACTAAGACTAATATGTATCTACAACTGGACTTACTTATAAATTAATATATTTTGTTTTAATTGACATAAATAAATGAATTAATTAATTTTTATAAATTAAATAAAATTATACTTAATTCAATTTTTATAAGATCAAAAATAAAATATTATAATAATATCCTTAATTAATTTGATTAATATATTTATTTATATATACACACACATACATACATATATACATATGTATTAAAAAAATTAATTAATTAAATTATTTTGAAATTTTAATAAATTATGTAATCTAGAAGTTGGTAACACAAATCATAATTATTTATCTTTTGAATTTTCTTGTGTTGTAACTAATATTTGTAACATAAAAAATAATTTTTTAATTTATGTGAGTTTTTAAAAAAAAAAACGCTTTTTAGTACTATGGTTAAGTTTATTTGTATTTATATATTTGTGAGTAAAAAATGGTGGTTTTTTAGATGCTTTATGATATTAATCTTTAAAAAGAAATTTTTATTTTTAAGAATAAAATTATTTATACATAATACTAAATATAAATTTTATAAGTATATATTTGGATTAATTTTTTTAATATTAGAAAAGTAATTTTTAGTTGCTTGCATAAAATAGTAATAAGAAAATTATAATTTAGTTCAAATTTTTTCATTAAAACAAAGTTGAATCATTATCTAGAACATAAAATCTTCTTGCAAAAAAAATTCTAGATATATTGAATAATTTTACATAAATTTTTTAAAAAATCTATTTTTTATTTTTAATAAGTATTATCTTATTAATAAAAAAAATTATAGATACAACTAAAGATTTATTGATTCTTCTAAATTTTTTGTATAAAATCAAATTTGAAGCATAATCATGTATTTAATATGATTATTTTTTTACACATACATTTATTTTATTAAAGTGATTTTTATTTATTTATATTTTATTAAATATTTAATTTTTTTATTTGAAAAGAAAATTTTAAAAATTTGTAACAATGTAAGATAAAAAAATAAAGATCTTAATTACAATTCTTTGTCACTTATAACCAACCATAATTTTTTAAAAGTTTCCAAAATTTTAAATTAGATATATATTTTTTGTTTTATTGGTACTTCATACATTCAAAAATAATTAATCATTTCAAAATCCAAATTCATTTGTTCCAATTATCTTTGTAATTATGCAATATTATATGTTGCTACATTTACACAATCAATTTTCCTTTCTATGGAATTCAAACTTCTAAAATGTTCAGACTTCCACTTTTCTCACTCCACTACGTTAAGTTTATTGAGTTTTTACATTAACCTCAACATAAAAATCCATACCACTTCCAAGAAAATTAACCACTTCCATGTTGTGACACCATGTTGGACATATCATAATTGTACATTACCAAGCACTGCAATTGTTAACAACATCATAATAAAGAGAACTGGTACAGGTTGACACAAAGAGACTCTGAAAATGTGAAAATAACACATTCAAAAGACGCAAACTAGTAAACTAACGACTAAATAAAAAGGAATGTGCATGAAAACCAATCCATGGAGGATTCCAACTGCTGATCTTGTGAGAGCTCACTAATTCATGGCGTGAGATTCACTAGTTGCATCATCCCATGACTTCGGCACAGGAGCCGAACACTGCACCGACACAAGCGAAGGATTCACGGCAAGGATCATGACACGGTAATAACACAGGTGGGTGCCGAGGAATTTCATTGCAGACATGTTTATGTGCAAGGATCAGGATGTCTGGAACACGAGAGAAAGAATGGGCAAGGTGCAGGTGAGAAGGAGAAGGAGAATTAATATGTTTGGACTTTTCTCAGCTGATTCGACTTCACCTCGCTTTGATTGCGGGGTGAATGAATGAAGTCTCTGATCACACCACATGAATGCATTCCAGCAGTATTTGTGTCAATAAGAGATACATGATTGGGTTACTGAGACAGCTTATTTAAAGTTGCAAGTCATGTCGTATAAGAGTCATTTGAGTTCGAGAAAAAAAGAATCCGGTTGGATGGCATTTGGAGAGACTTCCCTTCTTGCAGACCTGGCTGATCTAGACCTTCGACAGCTTCTCTGAAATGGTGGGAGTGCGAATGATGCAGATCCACCGTCAGTGGACAAACTGGTTACACACAATCTGTGCGTAGCAATTGATGTGGGTCACTGTTGGAGCCGTTGAGTCGCTTGAATGGTCTGACAGACTATCCTGCCGTAAGCAGTGCGGAATTGATTGGAGTTAAGTGTGTCCACCTGGGCTCACCTTCAGATCCATCATAGGAGGAGTGTTGATTGTATTCTTGCAGTTTCTTCTAAACATTATGCGCTATTTTCTTCGGAGAGGGTGCCTACACGGCAAGCCATGACGGGAAGAACAGATCGTAATACATCGCAGAAGTGGGGGAAGGTTGGTTACACGGCATCAAGGATCGGTGCTATCAGTTGATGCTTTGTCATCTTCATTGCCAGCACATGGTGGCACCTGATTTCTACTGGCTGCCTCAGCGACGTACAAGCGTCCATAACATCCCCAAAATAATGCTCAAGCTTGAGCCCCCTATATGTCCAGCAGCCCAGGCTCATAGCTGGAAACATGCAAGAGATATCACAACCGATGGTGAGCAACATCCTGATTTACAAGTCTTCTATGGTTGTTGTAGCTTCGTGGTCAAGGTAGGATTTGCTGCAGCGAGGAAGATGAAAGGGCTATTGTGCTTGCTGCTGCTTTGTCTGGCTCTGGCATTTTCTCACACAGTGGCAGCTGGGGATCAAGAGGCGCAGCAATACGCGTTGGGCAGAAAAGGGATGGAGGGCAAGAAATTCAAAGACTGTGGACCTGCGAAAGGTTATCCTCCTCCGTATTATCCTCCTTATTCTCCTTCTCCTGATTACAAATCCCCTCCTTATTCTCCTACTCCTGATTACAAATCCCCTCCTTATTCGCCCACTCCTGATTACAAGCCACCAGAGTCTCCTGCATACAAGTTGGTCTCTGAGTCCACGGAGTCTCCACCGTCCTGAGTGATGCCTGAACTTGACAAAGAATTTTCTTCAGGTATGACACTGAATTCAGAACTTTTATCTCGTATTTCAACGTTCAGAGATAAATGTTCATGCACATTCCTATTTGATGCAAGATACAATAACTTGGCTATTCTTCCATGCAGGCAGCGTTAAGTAGACACTTGCAAACCAGGATGTAGTCATTTTGCAATAGTAGTCATTTTGCTTTGTTGTTAATGCTTTAAGGTCAGGCTCACGAATTAACCTGTGAGAATGGCGATCCATTGCTGGATGTAAATAAGTGAGTAGTAACTCAAATTGTTCTCAGATTCTTGCCGTGTAGGCGCAACATTCATTGTGCTACAATTTCTTTTATGCATGGCTGTGATCCAGTACTAGGAGTGGGCTTCACTCGTTGATGTAAACCACCATAGCATATCAATATAACTGGCATTTTCCACCAACCAAAAGTATGCTGCAAATTCTCAAAAAGGTCGGAAGAAGTGTATGAAGTTGTCTGAGCAGACTCGGAGTCAACAACTTGTGGTAATGCAATTCAGTGACACAGTGAGTTCAGAATTTTGTCTACATGCGTAGTATCTTGTCTATCTAGAAATCAACTTGCCATTACAAATACTGCAACACTTGAACAATTCGACTAGATGGACCGACTCTGCCTGACAGACAGAAAAAGATTCATCGACCTAACTCGAGGTCAAGGCTTGCATTACTGTAGTTACTGAATTTAAACAAAATGCAATCAAACTAATAAACCCACCCTTGCACGTAGATAAGCTTTCCTCCCTTCATAAGTCACAGGTCGTACATTCCTGAAACTTCAGATTCCTTAACCTCAGATATTCATGATTAATTCCATTCTGGTTCCCACTGTGTTAGGCAAATGTATCTGTATACGTGCTACAGCTCCTAAGGTCTTGATGACAGCAAACGAGTGCAAAGCAACAACAAAACAGTTCTCAGTTGCCATGATCACAATTCAGCTTTTTACTGCCAAAGCTGAAAGGAGGTGACCAAGTTGAAGTGGGTGGAATTTTCCACTATGAGCTTTTAGCGTTGTTAGTATTTGAATTAACTAAAGCAAACTATCTTTTAGTGAATGCGTGTTCAATTTGCCGCACTAGATGCATCATTACGGGTGACTCTGCCTATGTGGCTTCTTTAGTTTACGTGACTTTAGGCCCCATAGACTGAGAAATGTGATCCAATAAAGGTAGTCTTAGAACAATGCTGTGAGAATTTGGCGTGATCAACATGGGATAGAACCTTAATATGTCCTTGGTCTTCGAGCTCCTGTAGCTTCGCGAAGTAATGGCAAGAAGTCATGATCTCAAGATTTACTGACAATTAAGATGTATTAGCAATGGACACATTTTACTCCGAAATTATAAGGATACAACTCATCAATCCAGAAAGTTAAGATGCAGATTCGTAGGTGCTAAAGTAAGATGAAAATTTCTGTTTCGCTCAACCATTAGCTTGTTCGCTCACAATGTCTACTGCTATTCGAGATCAAAACACATGTAGTAACGCAAAATTGGCAACAGTCGGTAATGAACCAACAGACTCGCAGAACCCTGAGTGACATTTTAAGTGTGAGATCGTTTCTTAGGTGATTATGTCATTAGGTGTATGCATCCACAGAGAGAAATACACACCATCCTGCTGTACATGTATCGCTTGGATGGGTAAGAATGAGAGGATTCTCGGGGACTAAAGATCGGCTGCCATACACCATACACCCCTCCTCTAAAATACAAAATCAATCTACGTACTCAGGTAGTACTTGGAATCCTACTACGATTGAATCCGAATACTATTGCAAATTCGCTGCTAATCGTAGGCGACGGACCCTCAAGCCCCTTCGAGAATTAGCAGAAACTGAATTCTGCAGCGGCCAATCCCTGAATGCTCTAAGCTCACGGGGTTGAGCCCTTCAAAAACCGGAGAAGTTGATAACACTGGGATTCACGAATGTGTAAGAGCGAAGCAGAGAATTTTTCCCAAAACCAAGAAGTCAGATGAGCGTAATCTCCATAACCTATTCCACATCGAAGAACGACCTGCATTTCGCTCGCCCTCACCGGCTTCAATGCTAAAACTCTTCACCTGTAACACGAAACCCCGCTGCAAAACCAAGTTTGCAACGTCCTTACCACAAATACCACGAACGGTGCATGAATTTGTAAAAACTCAGCCAAATCCATGAGCTTTGGAGCTACACCTATTTGACCCACCAGGGAACAGGCCGCCACAGAAGCTGTCAATTGCGAAGCAAATCAAATGCCGAAATCGGATACCCAGGTGAATAAATGTGCCGATTCGCGATCTCGTTGAAGAATTGTGCATTGAGACTTGAATTCTCAAGCACAATTGTAGTGAGAATTGCCGCAATTCGACCTCGAAATTCTGACGAGCTCGAGGCTCTTCAAGCCTCTCTCCTCCGTCACGAGCCCGCCGGTCGGTATCAAACGCCGTCCTTTGGATGTAGCTCCTTCAGACCTTCCGACCAATGGACGAACCTCCAGGTGGGTGTCCACGAATAGGTAGGTGACTTGGCTAGCCAACTGGTCATTTTTTATTAGTTTTCCTTTTAATGCTACAAAATAAATAAAAGGTATTTGATAATTTAATTTAGAAAGCTATTTCATTTGTGTAAGGTGGAGGCTAAATACTGACATCAATACTATAGATGTTGTTTTGCTCCGGTATTTTAAAATTTTAAGTGATAGAGTAAATTAAAAACCTGCAACTGTTGTGTTTCAATGATGATGATAAAAAATAAAAATAAATAAAAATAAATAAAAAACTGCTGTATTTATTCATGTTTGGTATTAATAATTTTTTTTACATTTTAATTTTTTGAAAAAATTACAATCTATATCAATCAATGAAATAATTCACAACTATATCTATATGTATATATACATTACTTTTTGAAAGAAAAATGCTAGCTACAATATCCTTTATGGAGTTTTGTGGAAGCTCAAAAATAATTTCTAACAAAACCTTAATATAAAAATGTGCTTTGATAAATGAAAATGGACTGCATATATACAAATGTACCATACAGACTACAATTCACTCCCAAGGTAACATATATTTTTATTTTTATTTTTGTAAGAAAATACTTTTAAAAAATTAAAATACCATTGGATATCATATACAAATCATGGTTTACTTTTTATACTTCACTATAGAGTATACATGTATTTTATGATAAATTGAAAAGAAAATTGAAAAGTAAATTTGCAATATTTACATTCATTTATAATTACAAATTGTTTAATATTTTACACCATTTAATATATTTTTTGTTATGTTATACAACCATTTGACATATGTTCTTAAAAGCTCTTGAAGGTAAAATTAGCTTTGCAAGATAATTTTCCTGTATTAACAACACAAAACACTTATATTTAATTTCTATTATTTATCTCTGATATAAAATAGCTCAAGGGATAAATTAGAAGAGACAAAAACCATCTTTGATTGGTTGTACATCTCATCGTTTTTTATCAAAAGTGAAACAATAACTCAACTTTTGATCATTGAGAGATCAAAATGTGCATGCTATTGTTGTAGATTGCAGAGAGTAGCATTGCAAGATTATGAGGCGTGCAGCTTAGAAGCTCCCAAGCATAATTTTTAGCAAATATTTTTTGTGTGCTATATTTTTTAGCAAATATTTTTTGTGTGCTATATATAAATTTGTGTGTGTATATTTATACACACGAGTACATATTTAGGTGTTACTGCCTGAATGCCAGTTCGCCTCAAAAAAGCAATACAAAACAACAGAACTAAATAAAGAAGGGAGAAAGGAAGAAAGAGAGAACGCTCACTGGGATTGGCAAAGCTGCATCATCAGGGCCCAAGTTGCCCAACTGGGTCCCTTCCATGAATGGCTCAAACTCTGTCATTGCAGTAAAAAACCCTAGAAAAAAACACAAAGGATAGGAAAATACAGTAAAATAAAAGCACAGAAAAAACTAACATAGCACACACAAAAACTCTTCGCCTTCCTCAGGTATGTGGGTGCCAGTTCTTCGGAATTAGCAAACCCTAACCTCCATTTTCTGGTGCCAATTGGAGACTCACCCATGACTTGTGGTTAACAAGAGAGAGTTGAATGCCGCACGCAATTCCCTGATTGATTGTAGAGTGATTTGAGGGTGGGTTTTGTGGGATCGTGTGCAATCCTGATCTACATTTATTTTGTTCTGTTTCAAAACCAGGAATTGAACCAGCTCTGACTTGGTTTATGTCAGTGGAAGACTGTGTGTCTGTTTGCTTCATCCAAAATTTTACACAGGAGGAAAATCGACCCAAACCAACAGAAGGAGTTGATTGGAGAAACGAGATGAAAACAAAGAACAAAAAGAAAACTGTTTCGGTATCCACTTTTTGTCTACAACTAAGCTGTGCTTCCGTTTTGTTTGTCGTTGACGATGAGTTGACGTGGGTACAGTGGTCCAGACAAATACAAAAGGAGAATTACGTTGGATGATGAAGATCTATACGTAGTGTAGGCTTCTTGTCTCGCATGCTGGATAAGTCTCAGGCAGGAACCACTGAAGAGTTGCTTTTGGGTTGGTGCGGAATCGGTGACCATAATGAAGATTTGTTTACAGCCGCTTTGGTTTTTCTTTTTATTTTCTACCACGAATTTGCGAGTTGCGTGGTGGCCATGCCAGCAGACTGGTAATGTTGTTTACTGACGGTGTAGAGTCTCACGATGCGCTGGAATGGTAGGTTATAGGGTAGCAAAGATATGAGATTCTAGACAGGTTTAATGCCATGCGATCAACACGATGCGGCGTGGCCGCTCCTTTATATTGGCCTCTTGCGGGAGCTCTTTCAATCTCATTGCATGAGCTGCAGCCTTGGACTGGATTTCTCATAATTTTGATTCGTGACATTCCCCACTCTTGCACCATGAATTTTTATCGAGGTGGATGGGGAGACGATAAGGAATAACAGTTGCATCATCCTTTATGAGCTTGCTTTTCAATTCCGGAGGATGTTGTTGGGAAACCAGTAATAGAGCCAGTAATAGAGTAATTGATGGGGCCCAGTGAGGAACAGCAACCGTGCGTAGACCACTTTGGCGCAACGAGACAGCGCGAGGCATCGATGACGGGGACTGTATCCGTTTATTGACTTGCATCACGTTCGCTTTTTATGGCAGTCGCACATCCAAAGCCAACGACGAGTAACCTGCCTTAGAAATTCGGCGACGTGGAGCAACTGATGGAGGTACAGTTCCGAAAGTAATGAAGATGAGACCATCGCGATTCGGTTTCATAGTCGTAGTGAGAGGAAACTTATGAGTCATTGTGGGCAGACAGATTGCTTCTGTCAAGGATGAGCGCATACCAGCTGCGCATTTACCCATTTACTGGAACATGCCGCCACAAATTCGGCGAGAAACTAGGGTGGCGAGCCTTCACAGCTCGCGGTGTATCCATTGCAACAATAGAGTCGTCCGCAGCTTTCCTAGTGTAATCAACTCGCAGCACTCGGCATGTTGCTGCCTCATCGTCTTGGGTTTCGTACGCCGATAGGTGCCCGTCTGCTTGCACAGGCATTGAAGGGGTTGTTGCAAACCTCGGATTCTTTTTTATTTTTCGATCAGTTCTTTGGGCAAGGTGGTTGCACGCAAGCTCCAGGAACACGATTACCCATCTAGGGCAGAGCCTGTCTTGCGGCCGTTTCGATTCGCCGAAGTGTTTCCAGATGATGGGTGCAGTTGCAATGAATTTGGTTGCTCCGAATGAAGTGGTGTCGGAATCGCGAGATTGACGTTGGGTAGAGGGGTTGTGTCTGCAAAATGTTATCTACTAAGCAAGCAATTGCTTCCCACGTTAAGTTTAGTTGACACCGTGATTGAGATCTGTAGTGATAGCAGCCAAGTTCTCGGATGTGCATTCCATGAGCGAAGTCCTTCAGAGATGCTTGCTCTGTGCATCGAGCAAGTTCAGAATTCTAGACTTGGAACGACAACCTCATGCTCGCACTCGTCTCCGTCTTGAGGTGAATGTCGAAAGCAGAATATCACCATGTTTTGTTACGCGCTAAATCACCGAAGACGCCCTTTACGCGGTCGATTGAGCATTCCACTTTTGTGTCCGGTTCTGTTGTGTTCTCTTTCATGCTCAGTATGAGCGTGTCTGCCGAATTTCCAGAGCCGGACGTTCACGGTTTCCGAGATTACTTGGTCATCATATCCAATCTGTCGTGGTTTTGAGTGATGCTTGGTGCAATTCAATGAGCACTGCATGTAGGAAATAGCGATTTTAGAGCTTCATGAATGTCACTCTCAAGATTAGACGTACGCGAGTACCACTCCAATCGTTTGAAAGCCAAGGTCGAGCTGCAGCTATCTAGGTTTTCTGTTGCGACATTCCTCCAAGAGTGGAGGCTATGGCGAGCGAGGAGAGGCTGTCGGGTAGTTATGGCGAAATGGAGGAGCAAAACGAGAGGCTGGAGTCTGAAATCTTCAACATCCCCGATCCGTCAGTGAAAGGACGAGTGAATGGGTTCTTGTTCTATGGAGGATCTGTCTACGATGTCTGGTTTAGCGCTTGCTCTAATCAGGTAAAGCCCCTCGTTCCACTGCCTCCAGTTAGTACCGATACATGATATTGCGTAGAAAATGTTCTCCACCATGGAAGTCGTGAGATCTTAGGCACAATGGAAGCAATAGTCGCGTAGCACTGAAAATAGAGACATCATTGTGGACTGTAGCGGAAATCGCAGATTGCCCAAGTGCTGTTGACATTGCCGACGTCCTTCGCTCAACTGGGGTATCCTTCAGGAGTGGCATTGCAACTATTCTACGGAATCGTGGGATGCTGGGCGACCTACATGATAACATGGCTGTACATGGAGTATCGATCACGGATGGAGCGAGAGGGACACACTTTCAAGATACATATCATACAGGTGTGGTCCATGCTCACCTCAACCTTGCAGAGTTGTTGTCAGGTCTTTTTGATCACTTGTAAGTTATTAGGACTGCTCTGGATCACGAGGTCCGTAAGATGGTGGTTGACCCTAATGTTCAATGTCATTTGCTGGCGATCGCAGTGGTTTGAAGTGCTGGACGGGTTGCTTGGGAGAAAATGGAAATTCCTGGGTCTGGGATTCAATTGCGTGTACCTCCTTTTCTCGGCCATCACCCAGCTCATCGCTTGCGGAAGGTACTTGCCAATTCGAGCCTCAATGTCAACCTTCATGCATGTACTTATAAGTCTGTGAGTGAAGCAACGTTGGCCGCATCGTGAATTCTTATCTATTCTAGAAGGAAACAAGCATTGACTGTATTTTGCATCCTCAACCACCCAAATTGACTATGTTCTATGATTCCCTGATCACAGCAACATATTTTTGTTGAACAATGATCTGAACAAGCGAGAGTGGACGTACATTTTCGGTGCTTGTTGTTTGGTGACAATTTTCATACCTTCGTTTCGGAATTACCGCCTGTGGTCATTTTTTGGAGTGGTTACGATTACATATACGTCCTGGTATATGACAGTCGCTGCCCTCTTTTATGGTCAGGTACCCATCAATTCTTCCTTCATGCCGTCTCTATGTAATGATTCCCTGATCCTCCATGCCAGGCTGCGTGGTCTTTTGGAATAACTAGCGTCTCTCTCTCTCTCTCTCAGCTTTTATTCTCGCTTAGGCGAGGTTGCGATGTGCATTTGTAGTACTCACTCAGTGCAACTGAAATGGTGTTTGAGTTTAGGCGCCGGGAGCAACTCACGATGGGCCCAATTCATTACTCCTATACTTTACAGGGGCTACCAACATTCTGTATACATTCGGAAGTCATGCTGTCACAGTGTAAGTAAGGGGGCTTGCAAACAAATGGATAGGTTACGTGATTTACCGTCATGAGGCTGTTGTAAGGGTTTAAGGTTTTGCAATGTTTTTTGTCAAAATTGAATTAAGGTAGTTTTTTGCAGGGAAATCATGCATGCCATGTACAGACCCGTGAAATTTAAGTACGTATACTTGTTTGCAACGCTCTACATCTTCACGCTGACCATCCCCTCGTCTATGGCGGTCTATTGGGCATTCGGAGATTCTCTGCTAGTGAACGCAAATGCGCTCGCGCTGCTGCCCAAGTCCGCTGCTCGAGACGTTGCCGTCCTTCTCATGCTCATTCATCAGGTATTACTCCATGCAATCGATCATTCTGATGTTTTCTGTGCATTTGAGATTCAGACGAAACCTCTAACATCGTGATATTTGCAACACATGATCTCTCGTAAATGAGCCGCTAGTGACTTGGATTTTGTTTTGAAGCGCAGTTCATAACGGTGGGATTTGCGGTCACGCCGCTCTATTTTGTGTGGGAGAAGATCCTGGGTGTGCACCAGACCACGAACATGCTCCTCCGAGCAACATGTCGGGTGCCTGTTATCTTACCGATTTGGTTCTTCGCCATCGCCTTCCCTTTCTTCGGTCTTATAAATTCAGTGGGAGGCTGCTTACTCGTCACGTTCACTGTGTATATAATTCCCTGCCTTGCGCACATAGTTTACTTCAGCAACTCGTCCCTCCGAGCGGTTAGCCCCTCACCTTTCTTTTGAGAACCACTTCTGCGTACAATCAGATCTCCAATGTTTGTCTTTGAGGTGTATTGCTGTTAGAGGCCATGTGAACCTCAACTCTGACGTAATTGTTGATCGCATTGGCAGCCTAGCGTTGAGAAGCCACCGTTCTTTCTCCCCACCTGGACGGCTGTGTATGTCGTTAATATCTTCGTGATCGTGTGGATTGTTGCGGTGGGCGTCGGCTTCGGTGGATGGGCGAGTGTTTCCGTTTTCATCAAACAGGTTCAAACATTTGGAGTGTTTGCTAAGTGCTATCAGTGTCCAGAGGCCAGTTAGCGTGGACGCATCCAAGTGGTAAGAAAAAGAATTGTCTCATCGCTAGATGTCCCGTAAGATTTTCAAGAGCATTATCAGTCTATTGCTGCAGCCCAAGCACTGGCAGAGTGCTAAATTAGGTTATTTTGCTCACTGAATGCAGTGGTCATCGTTTTTGATACTTGCTCAACGCTGTGTAAGTTTCGACCCCTCGTGCTGTTGCACTATGGCATTCAGACCATTCGAAAGCATATCGTAGGTAATGGAAGCTCCGATATCAAGTGAAATTCATTAGAATGATCCTGTGGGAAAGGGTAGGTATAGCAGTATTCCATTATTTCAGAGCAATGCATAGCTTGCTCCTCAACAAATAGGAGGATTCATTATAGTGACCAGGTTTAGAATGTGCAATAGTATCGCTAGTTCAGAACACCTTGCAGAGAAAAACATCTTCAACATTTGTATCTATTACCAACATCCCACAAATTATACATTCGTTTCTGTACAGAGCGTCTCGCTTTGTCCTATGGTGTGCTGTATAAATCATTTGCTTCACTACCCACAATTCCCAAACAAGCAACAGATATGGAGTTCATATTACGCATGTCACCGATAATATTCACAACGGTGGTCACTCGTACACAAGTGCACTGAACTTAATTTATGCTATTATTCGGGAGGAACAACTTCTGTACAACATCGCGTGACAAAATCACTATCATAACAAACTAATAAACGATGTAAAAAACTGTATAACCATAAGATGATTTAGTATCATTACCTAGACTACTTTCGTCATATTCATAAATTCGATGACTGCTACTCAGAAGCCTCGGGATGCTGTGATCCGTTAGATATTTTAAGAAAACGGTGCTGTTTTGAAATCTCCTACTTAAACATACTGGTCTACTCGAGCACACAACTGGAACAGTTCATATGATACAAAACTTAAATCGTCTCTTAGCAGCCAGGTCTTGGACCAGAATGTAGAGCCCGGGCTGGCATCAGCAGATAAGTACTTCTCAAAGACAGCCACAACTTGAGCGCAGTCACAAATTGTAGCGAAATGCTCATCGACTTCTAGGGTGGCCGGAAGCTCGGATCTCAAGCATTTCACTTACATCTACTGCAGCCTTCCGCTGACCTGCTGATGCCTGGTTGGACAGCTTCAAGGCTTCTTCTTCAGTCGCTGCAGACTTCTTCTTTTGTGCAATCAGCAACAGTGATCCAGCCTGATGAAAAAAAATCACAGAATTAAAAAATAGTGTGCGGCTTATTTCAACAACAAACACGACCCAAGGGAGTAGAAACTAGGCAGAAGTAAAACATGCTGAGACCTGAGTTCCAGCAAGTAGAGAATCGTGTGTAGGATGGGCCGCGATGGCCACCACAGGTTCTGAAGTATGGAGCTGTTTTCGCCATTTTCCTTCAACACTGGATTGTAATATGTGGCTGCAACATAACCAAATAACATTAATCAGCTTCTAAACCAGTAATGAGACATAATTCAATGTTGTTCCAGGTACTGAAACAACCACGGCCAAACGTCTGGAAAATAAATGGCTACCAGTCTAGAGAATTTCAGGAAGGTATTACAAACCTATTGCTGTTCACAGAGCATTGAGACGTTGGACTAGACGTAAAGTCCAATACGTTGATATGACACTCCATCGTACATCCCACGGCGTAAACCTGCATCATAAGTGCTTTGTTATAATATTTGAAAATTACAGGTCAACTTAATATATCTAAGCTAGGCACGTACTCTCCAAAATTCAGATGCATTTTCCCTAAAGTTGTTTACGGCAACTAAAAAACATATTGATCTCCGTTGCTGTACATGCTCGGTTCACCCATCACGTCACATGTACGTTCAAAGGGACATTTACCTAAAACAATTTGCGCCAGAAACTCTTAACAGAATTCTAGAAGATTCAGGAGGTAGCTGACATCGTAGCTTACAGGGTAGGATGTAAGCCAAGCAGGCCTTCTGCGCCGAATGGTCAACCAAGGAGCACACTCATGTTCTCTGCTTTGACAGAACCGGAGTAATTAGCTAACAATGCATCCGTGGATAATACTCATTTCAAGAGACAAACAGATTACAAAAGACAGTGAAAAAAGAATTTTTTTTCTTGCATGCCTGTAGATATGACCTGTAGCTGTACACAAATAGGTGGTGGTACTTACATCCATGGAGGAGGTGGACAATGAATGTGTGTAACAGAGAAGTCCAATATATTAAGGACCCCCGACCTGCCATGTCATGACACGCACATAATATTAAAAACTAGTTTAAAAACTGAGTAACTAGAAATTCGACCTCCAAGTCATTTTTGAAGCCATATTTGATTTGGTTGCTTGGGTACCTTGGATTGACACGCACCAGAAAAAAATAAAAATGAAACTGAAAGCTCATCTGACAGCTAAGAAAGCTAAAAATATGTTCACTTACCATCCATTATTGAGATGAAAGCCGAGATGATGTCCACAGGAGGGACTGAAAGAGATTGAATGTATGGAGCTATTTTCAATATTAGTCTGGGCCTGCAGAAATAAGGAACGTGGATAGTGTTGATCAATCCGCGTTATTGTTGTAGCACAGCATGCAAACGTTGAGAAAGTGTCAAGTCAAAGATATCAAAGAGTACCCCGCACATGCTCTGTAGTCAAAACAAACTCGAGGTTTCGTGTGTTCTCACCTTCAAGTCAGGGATGTCTTGAAGAAGAGTGGATAGTTTCATTGACCTCAATGGAGGATGATATGACTACAATCAAGAATGAAAACTTTGATTAGATTGGGGAAGGGAAATCATGAAAAAAGCAAAGAGCTGCACTTAGAAATCCAGAAAAATACTGTATAACTTTAACAGGAGTTGGAACCTCCATGCTTTGCAGATAAGTCAGAAGTATTCTTAAAATCAAAGTTGCTCCATCTATGTAGACACCTAAAGAGCAGCACTACATCTTTGACAATTACGCCAAGCGAGCAGCTTACTGCAGCCAAAGATCCAAGGTTCAAACAATGCTGTGCTCAAAAAAACCAAAAACCAAACACAAACACCAACACAAACAAACAAAAACATTTTGTACACGAAGATTTTAAGTATCACAGATACCTCTCCTGGCGCAACAAAAGCAGCAGAATTTCTTCCTCCTCGAAGGTCCCAAAGAATGATATGGCCCCCTTCAGTTCCTGCGAAAACAAGCTGCACTCCAAGCATGTTCAAATATCAGCAATTTTAAAGTTTGGAATGATCTGCGTTAGCGATTGTATAACCAGGATTAGAGCTAGGAAGTCTCAAGATAAAACCATGTCAGCACAAAACACGAGGTAATTATATCAATGTCCCCAGATTCAAATAAACTTTTGTTCATATTAATGCAAAAATCGTAAAAGCGTAATAACTTGTTGCTATACTTGACTTAAGTAAAAAATGAGATAAGAGAATATTCTGAATACTGTGTTAACTTAGTAGTTGGAAGAGGACTACTGAAATACAGGATTGGTGGGTGGAGCAGCGATGGGCAAAGCATGACTACAGCAATTAAAGAAATGAGAAGCATTCGGTTTATTACCTGCTCATCTCTTGAGAGCTGAATACTGTTTAGATCTCCGGCTATGGGTGCAGGAATGGACATCGTGGGCAATTTTCCAACCCTTCGATCCCAGACATGCACATTGCTGTCGTTCCCACACGCAATTATTCTGAAGAATGACACTTTTCTAAGTCAAGTGATAACTTACAAAAAAGAATACAAATAGTATTGGATACATTATCGAGCGAGCAGGATGTTATGACGTTACAGAAATCCCAGCAGCTCAAAATTGTAATCAACAATTTGACATTCTAGTATCTTCATAATGTACCTGTCTTTGTCCATCGTGCAATAAGAGAGATCGAAAAGACTAGCTGGTTGTCCTCTGTGATGTTTAGACCTGTATTCCAGTATCTGTGGGTGCAACATAGTGCGATTTACATCAGCGCAAGAATAAGTCACTCCATCCGCTATACGAACATAAAAGTATGAAAGTCATGTAGCCACATGCACTACGATCCTCTCTCTCCCCAACATGTAAAATTGTAGGTGACCAGTAATAAGAAGGCTTACTTGACGTGGAGTTTGAGAATAGCTTGCAATATCATAGAGATAAAGGCTGCTGCTTCCTGACGCCACACAAGCCACCTGAACAGTGGTTTTCAGCGACCCACGCCATAAGCTACACATCTCCAGCAAACTCTTATCCAATGTACAAAATACCTTTACAGGCAACCTACTTTACTACAATGTCAAAGTACATACCAAGTTTTATATCTAAAACCAAACTTCTGAAGAGTATTGTAGGCAAAACCATTGTGATCACTCTCAATCAAACCTTGCAGTACACCTCGTCTACATGTTTAATCAAAGCAAGAAACTAAAATACCTCGTCTTGATTATTGGGATTCCATCGCACGCCCTCAAGTTTGTGCCGCGTATGTACATGGACAGTGGGTTTCACTTTGTCTGCCTCACGACCTATGTCATGATTGAGATTGATAACTTGGTGGAACTTTAAAAATAAAAATAAATAAACAAACACAAAATACTACTAAGCTACATGCATTACTGATGAGGCATGCGTGAGTTTATACAGCATCAGATAAACTTTGATCGCAGTTAAAAGAATCACCTCCAGAAGTGCAGTATAAAGTTTCAAAGTCATGTATGGATAGACATCCATTACTGCTGACCGATGCTACATATACACCCTGCAATATAACATTGATTACAATTAGATGTAGTCTCGAAGCACAAAGCCGTGTCGTTATTTCGCAAATTTTCCACGTTTTCGCATTAGCAATAACATCAGTTCTGCTAAGATTAACTGATGTTAGAGATGAGCGGGGAGCAGAACTATTAAACACAAAGCACAGTCCTTCAGAAGGGCATTTGATATTGAGAAAGGTGTCTTACTTGAGCATCAAACTCCACGCATGTTACTATTGGCCTGTCAATTTCAACAATTAGGACACGTGAGAGAAAGGAAGATCAGCTTAAGTTCCTTCAAAACACTGTAAGGAAAAAACTTAAGTATATCCCATGTTTTGCATGATCCAGCACGTCAAAGTCGTACTACCAGTATTTCTAAAACGGAGGCCTTTACATGATCATTTAAAATTACCATGTATGGTTAAATGATTCAAGAGATGTCGACGATGACTTCACAGAAAACTTTATATTGTACTTGAGCTTAGAAGTAGTACCTTGATGTAAAAAATGTGTTCCCCGAAGCCATCCCTACTATCTCAGTAAAGCTCGACAAAGTATCCACAACTGATCCTTGCCATACTGGTGCCTACAAGCATGCATTCAGTGCATATTGTGGGACGGGCTAGCCATAATCAGACGTCACAAGAAACAAAGAAATATTCGTATACAAACCACAATAATAGGCCTATATTGTACACATGTTTGCAGGACTGGATCATGATTCAATGTGGCATCTCTGCCGATCAAGATGGTAACCACATAAACCACCCCTAATACTCGACCGATTGTACTCAACAAGACCTTTGATAGTGCTAGATTTTCCCCTACAATGATAAAAACAAGTTTGGAGAATGAATTCAAAAGTGAGACGTAAAAATAGTAGAACCAACGCGAGTGAGCAACTGACGTGAACAGGAGGAGGAAAATCACGGCTCAGATTCGATTGAGGGAAGCTTCCCATCTACACAACCGCAGAGACATAGTGCACATTAGGTTACTGTACGTTGCAAAAACCAAAACAAAGATCAGCGCATCACAAAGGCATTTAAGTGCTCAAACAGTACACTACTAGCATAGTTACCCACTCTCACAAACCACGCACGAGTGTCCTTGGACCACATATAGTTAATGTGAAAAATCACAACAATTGGCAAGCATGATGCATGCTAGATGTGTCTTGTAATGACTACCGCTTGCTGGTGTCGACATTGTTTATCCAGAATGTAGCATCTACCTCGGAATATGATTGCAATAGAGCATTGAGGAGAAAATGTTTGTAAGCAGCTGGTAATTTCCCATCCACTTGATAAGCAGCTGCCTTCCATTTTTGTCTGCAAAAAAATACGCAGTACTAATGTCGGAATTTCTCAGCGATTATGATTAGAGCACATTGGCGTCACAATTCGCACAACAGAGCATTCACAAAATCCCTACATTGTCATAAAGAGTACAAGCATTGAAGCTTATGAACGAGCCGTTGAACCAATTTCTCGTGAAAAGGCTTTTCGTTTGTATGGTGAACAAGAGCTTCCAGCTTCGTCTCAGGTATTTCAATGGAGGAGTCAACAACGTTGCAAGCTCTGGCCATGTCTAATATGAACAAAGATTTTAAGTGCAGAAAAGAGCTCAAGCATCGGTTACACCATGGATAACAAGGTCTCCAGCACGGCTCATACCTGGAGAGCAATCCTCGCTGGATAGGTGGAAAGGAAGGGCCAGCTTCATGTACCACAAATTTGTCCATGAATGAAATTGCTCACAGCGCCACTTCTATATCAAAACCAAAGGCCCTTCAGTATTTACAAGGATTGGAAACCTCACACCAGCGATTCCACGACGATGTGATGTAGTGTAGCAAAAGAATAACTACATCGTTCAGAGAAAATGAGAACTGGGCTTGATTCTGGAATCATAGGCGCTTAATTCAAGTAGAGTGGAAACTTAGGTCTGGATTGTAGGGTAAAAACTATGATAACTGCGCCTGGTCACAAATATGTGGCGTTCTTGTGCAGATTACCAGCCCAGTGGATCATCAAGTTAGATTTTGGTCAATGATCTTTAACGCTTTCAACTAAGTCGATGCGAGCGACAAGCTAAACAATCAGCATTGGAACGGAGACTCGGCATAGGCTTCTAATTTCACTGTCACACCATGACATGATTCGTGCGGATCGATCAGTGGACATCATACTCTGTCGAAAGTAGGGATCCCCACCAAAGCCTACATTCACCGCGCTCCACATCAACCACCATGCACGAACACAAACGCAGACCATGAATTAAAAAAAAAAAAATGTCACACTTACAATCAATGCGGGTCACTACCCACAGCTCCTTGTGCAGCCCTCCTCCCCCTCCTCCGCCTTCTTCAAACCAACAATCCAATGAACTAAACCAGGACCAGAAACAAATCAACAACCCAGCTCCGCCCACTCCTACATCACCAGCTCCGACAGCTTCAAGAGCCACAACGTCCGAATTGTCTTCTTCCCCTGATCACCTGCCAAGACCCAATAAAACTCAACCATCCCGCACCATCGCTCTCACCCTAACCTCACCACCAACATTACCACTCCCAAGGCTCCTGGCACCACCATTGACGCAGCCCGGGCTACATGAAACCTCAGAGCCTCGACATCAAACCGGGAACATCGGAAATGGATCAAGTGGGGGGTGACATGACATCACGCAGCACAATTGACATGGGTCAGAACCCAGTTGCACAAAACAACAGAATCAAAGCAGCGGGACCATGCTCTTCCCCTAGACGTCAAACAGAGACAAATCCTCCCACCACCTTCCCTCCCTCCCTGCTTGCCAAGCAACGAAGTTGATGATGATGAGCAAAAACTAAAAATAAAAAATAAAAATACGACGTGGTGATGCGAGAGAGAGAGAGAGAGAGACGATGCCAATTCCCACCCCCTTCACGTCACACATGCCGATGATCGTTTGTCTTCTTCGCACAATCCCGCTGCTGCTGCTGCTCAAGCTGATGGATGCTTGCTTTGAATGCAACCCGATTGTCACGTGCTGATGATGATGCTGATTGCTCACGCCTCCTCCTCCTCCTTCTCTTCTCTTCCTCGCTGCGATGAAGAAATCGAAGAAGGAGAAGAAGCTCTCGCGGTGGTCGAGAGTCCGGCCATGAAGGGAAGTGCTCTACGTAACAAACGCCCCACCCCCCCCCCCCGCCTTAACTTGGGCTCCCTCCCTTATACTTATTATGACATGGGCTCTTTGCCATGGGAGCCCAACCCACACACCCATTTACAACTCCTTCCTTGTCTTGAATTAGCATTCTCTTTAGAACCTTATTTATTGATCTCTTCTATAAAATTTACTTGTAAATCTTTCTTTATGAATTTTTTTTTTGTCTTAAATTGCATTGTTTTTTAATACTTGTTGTATGAAGTAATTCTCTTGAATTGTATGCTCTTTAGAAATTTATTGTGTGTTGACATATACAATTATTTTCTTGTCTTCAATTATATTCTTAAATTTTTAAAATTTTTGAAATATGAATTTGAAATATTATACAATTTCTTTAATGTCTAAAATTACATCATCTTTAGAAATTTATCATACATTTTTCTTTTTAAATTTACATTGTTGGCAAAAATTAATCATGTGAAGATATAACGTAAAGGCATAAGAATGACAGGTCTTGTTAAATTGATCTTTTAAAAAAATTAAATAGTTAAATAAGTAATCTTTATGTAGAATAAATTTTGAATAATAGAATATGCAAAGATGTTTTGAAGAATTTAGTTTCAACTAATTTACAACTATTTTGTTAATGTTGAATATATTTGTAATTTTTAAATCATCTTTTAAAACAAAAAGTACATCATTATTACTTTTTAATATGAAAAAATATAATAAAATCAAATAGGTTTTTTTAATTTAATTAAAATTTCTTGTTTATGCCAAAAATATTATAAATATTAAATATTAAATATTTTTAAAATTTATTATATATTATGTATTTAATTATAAAAAAACTGAAATATATTATTAGAAATATGTTATTTTTTTTAAAAGGATATTTTAAATTATATCCTAAAAAACATATTAAGTGTAGATCTCTAAAAATAATCCAAATCATTTGTTGTAACCAAACTTTTAAATTCTAAAGTTATTATTGTATGAAAAGAAAGTATGACATACTTATTTATTTTTTATTTATGATATATAAGGATGTATGTCTGTACCTATGTATTTGAATATATATATATATATATATATATATATATATACTAGATAAACCCGTGTTGTTGTTACAAAAAGTTTGACTCAAATGAAGCTATTTTTGTCAAGCCAAAGAGTATTTTTCAAATTCAAATACTATACAATATAAATAGAAAAAAAATTATATAATAGAGCTTTCATGTATGAAGTAGAATATGTAAATCCATGCTATTGTTACGGATAATATACAAAAAAAAAAAAAAAAAAAAAAAAAAGTAGTTAATGTAGTTCAAGAAATTATTTGTGAAAATATATTTAAAAAATTAAATTAAATTAAATTACATTAAAAAATATATTTAGACATTCAAAGATGTACTAAAGTTAATAAATAAATTAATTAAAATATAAAATATAAAAAATAAATTATTGATATTTATCTAATTATTTTTTTTAAAAAAAATATTTGATATGGAATTTAAATTGTCATTTATAGAAAGAAGAATCTTGATAGAAAGGGAGGAAGTACATTGAGAGAGTACTACATTAATTTGACTATGGAAAAAAATAGATTGTTGTAGATTCAAAGTAATATGCTACACTGATTGTCATTGAAATTTATTTATTATTATTGCAAATGCAAGATGGATTGGAAATTTCTTTCTCTTTAGAATAAATGGAAGTTCTTTTGTTGTAGAAGTTAATGTAATCCATGGAAAAAACACCAAGTTTCTAGCAAATTTTCCTTCAAGAATTCTTGCTTCAAGAATTCAATCCATTAGTTCTATAATTACCAATTAGATTCCATTACAAAGTCCTTGACAAGGAGTAATATTTTTTAGTAGCATCATTGGAATCTCAATCTTAAGACAAAGCCTTGATATGGGCATTCCAAATAGATTAAGTGACTTGATGAATTCAATTGAATAAACATTATTCTTGTTGATACCATCTTCAACTACAACTTTATCAGCACTTAAATATTCTTGTTCTTCTCTAGGAAATATGGTCTTAATCTTCTCATTAATATCTTCTATATCATCATTATGTGTGGATAAAATGATTCTATCTCTAAAGAAGGCATCAATTGCTATCTTGTCTTTTGCCAACATTGAATAAACAACATGCACTAAGGATGTGAGTCATTAAATTGACTCACTTATTGTTTTAGGATAAAAATATGCATTTAGAATGCTTCAAATTACAATATATAGTGAGTAGTATAGAAATCCTTTGAGAAATAGAAAATTAGAATGTTAGTAGTAGAAATGGAGGCTTAGTAAGTGTTGGAGGGAATTATCTTTGTTGATTTAGTATTTTATTTATTGTTGAATATTAAGGATTATTTATTAAGACCAATATTTATATTGGTCTTTTATTTATATGTAATATTTATAAAAATTATAAATATTAGTAGTTAGAAGAAGCATGAGAAAGAACCTCATGTCATTTTAGTTATTGATATAAAAAATAGGATTTATAGTAGATTTAAATTGATATTTATTATTATCAAAAATCATGAAGGTAGGAAAATGTAGCTTTACATGGATATTAGCATTATAGAAATATTATAGGATTTTCCAGAATTTATTTATAATTTTTTAGGAATTTTTAGAGCAATGTTTAAGATCTTGGTAAAAGTAAATTTTACCACTTCGGAAGCCATTATGAAGAAAGGGAGTAAGATTTGAAGGCCACAATAAACTACTGAGCTAATTCGGTGTTTTTAAACACCATGGTGAAGTCAAAAATACAAAAAAATGAGTTTTACTAGTAGAAAATAGGATGACCAGCAGCTAGTCTAGTCCTTATAGGAGAGAAGGTGCACAAGTCTCATATGGATTGTAGCACCTTGGGTATAGGTAGGAAGATAAGACTAAGGCCTCAAGGCCTCTTTAGAAAACCAATATACACTACATGTGAGCCTTGGTGAGGCTCGAACCCTTGACCTATAAGCAAGTTACCTTTAAGGTGAAACATTTTTACTTAATTTTTATTTATTTACTTATTATTTTTAAACATTCAAAACTTACTCATAGTAACTTGGATTTATATATTTCTTATATTTTATTTTTTATTAGGTGAAAACTTCGTGAACAGATTGTGACTAAGTTTTGGAGTGTATATTTGCTTATATATATTCCTTTCACTTGTTTGTGTTGTTTCTTCTTTTTTTCTTGTTCATTACATCTTCCACTTCACACTACCCATTATAAGCAACTCTTAATTGAGGCCATCTTGTAATTTGGATAGAGGAGTGAAATTTACACTCACAAAGGACATTATTTTTTTTATCAATAATCATGTGATCAAGAAGCTTAACTATATTATCATGCAATAAGTTTGTGCCATTTCTAATCTAGCAAGTAGCAAATAGAAATAATAATGAAACTGTAAAGGTTTCAAATGCACCACCATTTATATATACAATATGTGTATGCATTCTATATTAGAAGAAACCAATTAACAAACTCAATATTTGTTTTGAGTGCTCATGAATTCAACCTCATACTCTCTTTTAATATATGGATTTTTATTTGAAGCCAAAGTATTGAATGTCAAAAAGATGTTGCTACAATTTCTTCTCAAGTTCCTTTTACAATTACTAGTAATATTTGGCAAAAATCTCCACCAAAAACTATTATAGCTCCTCCAAATGGGCAATCAATATCCCAAATGTCTCTAAAAGAACAATCAACTGCTTTAGGATAATAATGATGTTGCATTGGAAGTTCATCCCAAATAGTAAGCAAAGTTTGATAAATAAACTCAACATGGTCAAAATTCTTAGTAATTGAATAAAAAAAGTCTTTGTTATAATCTAGTAGAATCTTGAATGTAGAATAGGCGGTTCTTCTTCCCTCAAGTGGAAATGTGGCAATTCCTAATGATGCAATACATATAACAATCTTTTACATCAATTAAACTTTAGTTGCCAGAGTATTGTAAAAAAATATCTTAACAATTCTTGTAGGTCCGTTTAGAAAAAATATGAGTCCATATTCTTCCATTATAGAAGCTACAATATCATCATATGACTTTTTTTGTTCAAGATTTAATTGTGGAATATACTATTCCAAATTTGCTTCTAATTGTTGAATGTCACATATTCTTTCTTCAACAATAAATCAATTCTCATTAATTGTTGCATTCCAATTATTTTTTGATAATGGCATTGGAAGAAAATGTGCAATCATTCTATCGAAGTCTTGTAAAATCTTATCTAGCAAAAAAAGTCTAAAATCCTTAATTTGTTCATCACTTGGATTGCTAATTCTATTTTCTCTTTGCAAACGGGCATTGAGATCATCTAAGATGCTTTTTCAAAATCTTTTCCATAGATTTAATGGCTTTAGTAGATTTTCATGTAATAGAAAAATAGCAAATAATATCCTCAATTAAGATCCAATTTGTATTCTTCATGCCTCTTCCAAACATTGCTGCCACTTCAACTCTCCATCATCTTCAAGTAATTCTAAAGTTATACATGCACTTTGAAATGTTGGATGAGAGATTCCATAAATAGTCTTTAAGTGCTCAAATAATTGTGGAACTTTAACATAGATTAATAGAAGCGTGAAGTAATATCTTTCTCGCATTCTAGGATTTGCAAAATATAATCTTTCAATAGTAAATCCATATTTTTTTAATGTCCACATCCTTTTTATCTTATGCCAAACAAAATTTTGTAGAAATTATTAGTATATATATTGACTTGCCATTGCAATTGTTGCACATATCTCAAAAAATGAAGTTAATATTGTCTTTTATCTTTTAGCATGTTGTAAAACTACAGCTATTTTATTATTTGGATCATATACTACTTAATGCATTTTAGGAAGATGAACAGCTAAACAACAATATTTGGCATTTCTTCATGGATTCATATGCCAAAAAGTCTCCATGGAGCATCCAGAGCTCCAATGTATCTTGCATCCAAATATTGTTTGATCTCATCTTGTTGGTTTTCAAATTGCATTATAATGCAATTATGGCACTTATAGATGTATATGTGGATATACTTGATGGTACAAATAGATGCACATACTTCAACATTAATATGACAATTGTACTTCTAAGATAGTTTTGGACAAAATGAAACAACATCTTTATTATCAACAACCATTCCTTCAACTTCAAACATTCTTCTATTATTTCTTTGTCAATATTATGGATATCTATTGCCACCTATTATTGTTTCTCTTACGAATACCTTTAGATACCTCTTTGTGTAACAACCATCTTCCATGCAAGGCGCTTAAGGATTTTGCATTCCACATGGATCATGTACCAAGTATTGTAGAATAACTTCAAGTAGCTCTCAATTGTTGTTTTTAACAATGAATTAAGAATGGACATTAATGAATTGTTAAATGAGTTCTCATTTCATTTTTTTTTTAATAAATCTTAATAAATCATGGAAACACGAAACTTAAACATATATCCAATATATTTGCCTTTAGAATGTCTATATGATTGTATTACAATATGAAGTGCATAAATTTGTAGATGAGAAAATTAGTGTGAAACACCAATAAAAATATCCTATAGAACTCTCTAATCAACTATGAAACGGGTTGTGAATTCTACAAAACATGAACCTTTTTGATGAAATCAAAGGCCCATCCATGCGGTGAAGGAGAGTCACTACTTGTCTCATTGAGTGATCTAAATATTTAGATATATACATAGAGTTGTTAAAGCCACACTCCAATGTTGCTAAAATCACATCCTACATTACCATCTCATGATTTATTTTGTCCATCTTCCATCTCCATTTCTTATTTCATGTCTGTGTTATCTATTCTCAACCTCTCTCTCCATTTTTTTATCTCCACTTCTTATTTTCTATCCCCAAAATTAATCATCATATAATTTTAGGGATGTGGCTTCAAAAACATTAGGAAATGACTTCAACAACATTGAGATGTGGTTTTAACAACTCCTCATATATATATATATATATATATATATACAGATGATTTAAAAACTTTGAATTTACTAAATTTATTTATTTTATTTTCTAAAATATTCTCCAAATTTTTGCTAATATTCTTAACAAAATTTGAGAATTTTTATGTATCACTAATCATATATGTATTTTATATGCAAAAAAACCTTATGTTAGGAATATTTTAATTTAATTTTATAATTTAATATATTAATAGATTTAAATTTTTTAATATTATTAATCAATTTGCTTAAGATTAAATGTATGTTGTTGCTCAAATTAAAAGTAATTCAATGAAATTACTTTATTTTGTAATAAAAATTCATTTGGCAATATTATTACTTATTATTTATAATTTATATTAAATATTTAGCTTATTTTAGATAATTTTTGGTTATTTTTATTTATTAATTATAAGTTCTTAAAACTATTTTTAATTAAAATCATGTATTGAAATTCAAGATTTTCATTCCATGTGTCTAATTTATGTAACACTTCTATGATAGTTTCTTAAGTATAATACTTTATTAGAAATAATTATTTAATACATCTAAATATTTAACTATTGTGCTTATATTATGTAGTAGTATTTTTTATAATTTTTTACAAATGTGTTAGGTTATAAAATATCTAAACCTAAGAAAATTCACTTGTGTTATTTATTTGCATAGTAATAAAATATATTTTATTTAAAAAATAGTATTACAACTATTGTGTTTGCGTAAAAAAAAATAAATGATAAATATTATGATGTTTCTTATAGCAATTCTGATGTTTTTATTATACCAATTTGAGATACTTTTTCTATGTAATAATCTAATTAATACAATACCACAACTAACTAAAATTTAGTAAAAAATTTTAAATTTTAAAAAATCATAATTATACATAAATACATCATTGTTGGCACTTTGGAATATCATTGTTGCTAATCCATGTGTCATCTAAATTAAGAAGAAAAAGAAAAATCTAATAAAAAGAGCTAATGCTAACACAAGGCTCACCCTGTTCCAAAAACTCTTCAAGTAAAAAAAAAAAAAAAAAAAAAAAAATTCTCAATATTCATAATAAAAAATATGACTACAATCTATACAACAACTTCCAAATCTACTCACATTATTATAATCCACTAAATAAAAATTAGAAATAACAATATAAATCAAGCCCCTATTGAAGAAGTTGGGCCACTTTGAATTGCATAGAACCGCAATTTTTTTTTTGCATAATAGAGTTTCCCTTTCCAATTCCATTCACCCATCCATCCATCCATTCATTCATTCATTCGTGGTGTGGTGTCGTGAGGCTCGAGGGCGGCGTTGTGAGAGTGAAGACTCTTCTTAAGCTTGTCTCGCAAATTCGTTGTTTCGAAGAGGTCCGAGTGAGGAGGATGTGGAGCTAGCTCAGCTGCTGATGCTCAATCCCACTCACTCTCACACACACTCAGGCGGTGGGGGAAGGGCTTCTTCGTTATGGTTGCGGACACCGCCTCAATCGCCGAACCAAGGAAAAAATGAAAGTAGTCGAGCTTCGACGCTGATTACTTGCGGGTAAATTCGCTTACTCCATCCATGTCCAGTGAAGCCAACTCGGTGGTGTACTTTTCTAGCTCCATCGCTCCAGCTCTCGTCAGATTCTGGGGTTTGGCAGGGATGGCGTCGAAGGCGCGGTGACGAAATCTCGAGCGCCGGTCCCAGTTGCAGCGTTGCAGCATTGGAGCTGGTTTCGCAATCTCAATCCTGTGAGGACGCAGCGCCCCCTCCATGAATTGCCTCGCTTTGAATCGTGCGGTCTGCAGGGTAGGCACCCGCTACCCTGCACAATTCGGAGAGGTGAAATTGGCTGGTGGAGCTATGTCGTCGGGTAGACACATGTTGTCAGCCTCTGCGTACTGTGCACAAGTAAGGAATTCAGTGACGGTAGCCGTTCGTTGTCGTTATTGTACGCACAAACATCTTCGCAAGGGTTTTCTAGGTACGCTGCGCTTGGACAAGCAGCAAAGTTGCAGAGTTCAGCAGAGAGTGAGGAGATTGCGAGGAGGTTCTGTGCTGCAGCTCACTAGGGCTGGGATTGAGAAGAAGAGGATCAAGAAAGATGTCGACGATTTCGAGGTTGGTTTGCAGAAGAACGGAGGTTTACCGGAGCTGCCTGACGATCTCTCACAATTGGCCGTGTCTCTGCCACTGGGGCTGGCATCGTTCGAGGGATTGTTTCTGGTTGGGTGGGTGGCAAGCTTGAGGGGGCTGTTGCCTGGCTCCCGTGGTTTCTTCGGTGCGGCGGATCTTATCCTTTGTGGCATTATGTTTGCGAATTGTGTCGTCGGGTGGTATGCGTTGGAGCATAGCCGTAGTGAAATAGACGAATTGCCTCGTGATAGGAAGGCTCGCAAGATGAAGGCGGCCGGACCGAGCTTGATTGATCTCGGTTTCTCTCTAGGCGTGAGTTTCATTCCTTTCGCCAATTTGTTTCTGTGGTTGAGGTTTGCTAGTAGGCAAAAGCATTTGTCGACCAAAGAGCAGGCAGCGCTCGTTGCCAACGCTCTTATCTATGAAGGTCCACGGCTCTTCGCCCTTCTTGTGTTGATTAGTGGAGGATTGTGGGTTTTACTGCAAGTAGGGCTCGTCAGCAATGTTGCGTTGCTTCTCAGCGCACTGCACCGGCCTTTTGAGGAGGCTCGCATCAGAAACGAGAAAGTACTGAGGGAAGTGGTTAGAGCGAAGGAATTAGCTGCCAAGGAGGCAGAAGATAAAATTCCAAAGAAGAAGGAGATTAGTGAGGAGGAGAGAGACCGAATCGATCGCTTAAGAGAACTGGAGGAATTCGACATGTTGCTAGCTCAGACTCCTTCCTCCGGCACAGCGACTCTTCCCGGTGAGCATGCTCTTCGAAATCAAAACTCTCTTTCTTGTAAAGATTGCCAGTCCGAAAGGGATCTCTTGTTCGTTACCTTTCAACGCTGGTGCAATACTTCAAACCACTGTCTAATTTACCGGCACGGAAAATGAAAAGGCGTAGGCCACAAAATTGTGCCCTAAAGAAGCAAGTCAATCAACAAAGGCTCTTTGGGGAAACTTCTCCAGTGAAGTTATGTTGTGAAACTAGAAGACCTTGTGCGGGGTATCTAGTGAAGGGAAAAGACGTAATCGTTAATTGGACTTGGACGTGAGCGTGGCCGGAGAGAGAGGACAGTGTAAACATGAATTTGCTTTCCGATTCATTAGACTGTGACTTTCAGGAGAAAAGAATACTTCGATTGCTTGGAATCCATCCCACTCAGTATGATAACGGAACCACAAACACCATCACGCTGACATGAAGTGTGTATTATGTGGGAAAGCAGCTAATCCCAAGGAGTGGACAGTCGGGGAGACAATGGAGTGGTTGGGGCAGCAAGGACTTGCAAGATATGCTACTACATTTGCACAGAACAACATCGATGGAAAGCTGCTTCTACAGCTCACCACCGACGAGGTACGGGATGAGCTTCAGATCCTAAACTTTGGTGACCGTAAGAAGCTGGAATTGCTGATCCAAGAACTAAAGAGAAGATGAGCAAACAACCAACATTCTCTGCACAAAGCAGGTATCCGAGAGACACTCTCATTTTTACTACATCCATCTTTCTTCTTCCTTACGGAAGCATTTTCCCTTAACTTCAAACGTTGTCCCTGCAATTGTTAGGGTCCCTTAAAATGCTATCCTCCTCAATTCGGAGGGCAGTTGAATCAGAATAGTTTTGTCTGTGTTGGTGCAGACGACAAACTGATTGAGCATTAAAGGGCTCATTTCTTAAGTGACTCATCACTTGTGTGTAAACATTCTCTATTTGAAATTCGAAGTCTTTGTGTACTTCTGATCTTTGTATCAGCATTTGGAAGCGGCTTGTAAATATCGCTTACATATATATATATATATATATATATATATATATTTATAAGTATATTCACATTTTTCTGTCGTAGAAGCACCTCTTGACGTATAAGTCGACACTTGACTACATCTAATCTTCTGTTATCAATCAAGACCATTGAGAAACAGGTTGGGGTTTAGGATTCGTGAAATATGGCATGTTTTGTTTTGGCAGGATGGAGGTATTGTAAAGGTGGATTTGAAGCTTGAGGGAGGATTTGGTGGTGACTTTGAAGATGTTGGACCCCATCTCCATGCAGTAACATCTTTCTATTTCGAATTCCTCTTGGCAGTAAATTCCAAAATCTGATTTTTGGACTTAAAAAAGTTTTGTCTTGATTTCTCAATTTCTCAATTTTATTTATACACATTTATATATCTTGAATTTATTATTGTATTCATTAAAGAGTTTATAATCAAGATTTAGATTTAAAATTAGCATACATATCCCATTCAAATGAAACTAAAAGTATTTGTTAGAATAAAAACAATAAAGAAATAATTATAAAGTAGTATATAAATTTTCTAGACAGCCTTGTATTTTATTTTTAATTCAAATCTATAGTCTAATAACAATATATTTTCAGCACAAATGTGTTCACAACTAACCTATTATGAAGGTTTGATTAGCTTGGGAATATTTATTTTATTCAGTTACACAGAAATTTGAGTGGACCACCATAACTACAGGGTAATATTATCAACCTATCATCTACAAATTCTTGATTATCTTTGTAATATCAATCTTTTACACTGTAGTCAAAACAAAGTAATGAAAAAAAATCATGTATAAATTCTATAAAATTTACATATCTAAAAATAACAATAATTTGTTTTAATTTGATGATTTGCACCATTTCTTTTTAATTTATAACTTTCTTGATGGAATTTGAGATAATACATTTGTAACTATATCTTGAGTCTTATAAAAAAAAAACTAAGTTAATCTTATCATTTTTAATCTTATCATTTTTAATCAACAAAATATTTTTGAATTTTAATATGTTTGTTATAAACAATAAAAAGAATTTTTTTGTAAATAATATAAAATTTTGATTATTATTCAAAAAAAATTCACTTAATCATTTTATTAAAGTCCGAAGTCTTTGTTAATTCCATTATAAACTGAACATTTATATTACTAATTTTTTACATTGTAATAGTTATAATATCAAGAATTTCACATAATAATTAGTACTAAACATTATTAATACACCACAACAAATCAATCATTTTATTAATTACTATTTTTAGAATCATATATCAATTACTACTAATATATTTGCCTATCAACTACAATAACTTCTATAAATAAAAAATAATACTTTATAATAAAATAATCAGTTTAATTTTATTTTTTTATACAACTAACTATTATCATTTTTTATAATGTTTTTATAACAACTATGTTAACAAATAATTATTATGAACATTAATAAAATTTGTTATATGAAATTTAATAATCAAAAAAATATATATAAAATAATACATGTGAGAGACACATTTATATTTTTTTTTTTGTGATTTAAAGTTTATAAAATTATATGTATCTTATACATTAAAAGTAATGGTTCTTATTAGTATGCATTCATTCAAATTGCATAAACATCTCTTATTGCATCTTGCCAACTATAAGTTTATTAACAAAAAAAAAAAAAAAAAAAAAAAACTGATTTTTGCCTCATTTAAGTGTCTTAATAAACAAGAAATATAGAGAGAGACTCAACATCCACTGTTGATGCCTAAAACCACATTCTATGGGCTTTCACTATATTGTATATTGTCTATTCTACAAAAGACACACAACACAGTTTTTTTAGAGTATTGTTGTTGTAATACTAATATAAAGAATAAATCTATATAGCAGTTAAATTCTACCTCCTCCATGAGCATTTAAGATCCCATTACTTTAACAAATTATTTTTAAAGAAAAACAAGGAGCTTTAATGTTATTTTGTATATACACATATACATATTTATCTATATACAAATGCATGTGAACATGCTTGTAGTTTTATATTTGGTGGTGAAAATTGTCAATAAATTTATTTATTCATAGAAAATTTTATATATTATAATTTAATTACATTATTAGTAAATTTTATGAATATTTTTACTATAGTGTTGTTATTTTGACAAAATCCACTTACATCTAGTTTTTTAAATAGAATATATTTAGATCAATATTGAACAAAATTATTTTAAAATATTATAAAATATGAGCTAGGTAATTAAAATAGTACAAAAGTTTATGAATAATATTTACAATATTTTTTTATAGAAAAAATATTATTAAAAATATATCATTCTTCATAAATCAATTCTATTATGTTATTAAGAATAATCAATTTCAAAATGCACTCATACAAATTGCCAATGACTATAATTCTAATTGAAGATCCCACAAATTTCTACAAATCTCTTATATAAAACAATTCATGGGAAATAAACCAATGGAACAAACCAGAGGCAACAAACACCATCTTTGATTGGTTGCATATCTCATTATTTTCATCAAAAGTGAAGCAATAATTCAACTTTTGATCAATTGGAGATCAAAATGTGTGTGATGTTGTTGTAGATTACTAAGAGTAGCACCATGAGATCATTAGGCATGGAGGTTGGAAGCACCACAACATGGAACAACATAGATCATAGTAGAATGACACGTATCATGGAATTTCACATTATATGAAACTTCAAACGAAAGTTTAATTTACAACACATAGTTTACAATATTTTTTCATGGCCAAGGGCATGGGTTTCCATTAGTTTTCTACAAATCCCTTCAAAACCAAGAATGTAATCTTGCCCTTAACGTCCATTTCACATCCATGAGTGAACAGGTCCTTCCAGCCACCACAAGTGCTGACCTCACGATATGAGAGTTTTTTTATTTTTTATTTTTATTGCCCCCTCGCAGCTGAGCACAATCCCACAGGGGTTCCCACAACGCTGTGTGAACAGGACCCAGGTTACGACGACGGTGTGAACGCGGAAGCCTCCCCATTCACACCGGAGCATGAATTGCGAGCCCTAATCTGCTCAGCTCGACTCGGAGGGAGCCTTTCTATTTTGCTTTCATCGCATTCCTGTTTCGGTGCCATCTCGTTTTGCCTGGTTCACATTTTTGCATGCCCGCCATGGCTTCGGCACTGCCGATTAGGTGACCTACCAGTGTTCCCCTGGATCTCGAACTCGCCTGCAGCCTCTTTTTCATTTGTCTCCTCTCCTGCCGCGTCAATTCGACCTCATTTTGCCGCTGTTTGGCGCTCGGTAAGTCTTTTTCTTGTTTCGAGGGTCCCTCTCAGCTGAGTTGATTAATCTGGTTGTGATTTTGCAACAATCGTGAGGAAGAGAGTGTAGTGGTGTGGGGACGTGTGCGACGACGTTGAGGATGAACTTATCTCAACGGACAGTTGGTGGTTTCGTACTTTTAGAGCCCATTGGGAGATCGTGGAGTCGTGTCGGCATCTTAGTTGGTTGATTTCTTTTGTCGAGTGTTGACTTCTTCTCTTCCTGCATCATGCAGTCTTTCTGCTGGCTTATGCTGAAGTTTACTTCGTTTTCTGCTGAGTCGTGGAGTAGTCGAGGCTCACTTATGTGATAGCTGTTCTTTGTTCCGGAGCTGTGATTCTGGTGCAGCTTCACATTTTATGTAGTCAGCGCAAATGCATGCAGGCGGATATTTTCCAAGGTCTCGGTCGGTTGGAATTAGATTATTTTTTGGTCAATGCTATTGGTTTGAATTTGGGTTGCATTTTATAAATTTCAAGAGCTTCTTGCCTGATGATGGTAAATTTTAGGTAATACCGCGACACATATACTGATGTAGCTGGAGTATTTGATTGTCCTACCAGAGTGTTTGTTTTTTGTGCGTGGGGTAGTTTGGAAGGGTTGAGGTCGATATCGGCTCTTTGAAGAAGTTTGCAATTATGCATTTTTTTTTTGTGTTTAGAAATGAATGTTATTCGTGGTGTGTGGAAAACGGGCAGCCATAGTAATGGAACCCACCTGCTTACGTTTTTCGTAAACTTCTGTGGTTGAATTTAAGAGTGTCTATTCAGGAATATCGATAAATTTTCATCCCCTCAGGGTTGGATACAATTCAGTTTCCTCTCTGCCAGCTTGAGAGCGGTCTGTGTGAGCGGCCGCTGGCCGTAATTTAAGACGCTCGATCTATCATTAAACTATTGTTTATCGAATCTGTGTTTGGCTTGCATTGTGATTTGATGTTTTACGTACATATTTCGCGATGTGTAACTTCTACAGAACAATTATTTCTTGTTGCGCACCAGTTTCGTCCGCTTGAACATTTTTACTTCTTTGGATGAGAGTGTGTGCTGTCGATGAAGATTATTTAATGTGTCATCTTTGACGTTATTGTGGATGTGATGTGTTGCGCTCAGGATAGAGTCTAGAATCATGGGTAAAACAGTCTCAAATCCGAGGGTTTTCCTCGACATTACCATTGGTGGTGGTCCTGCTGGCAAGATGATAATGGAGGTATGTACACACATGGCCTGCTGCTACATCGTTTCCCGTGTTTAGTTCGCCAGTAGTCATCTTGTGATGCCACACGAGTATGCTTCGTAACGTGTGTTTCAGTTTACATTTTTGTAACTTATTAATATTCTAGCTTGGTAATGCTCTTATCGATTGTCCTCATTGCACTCTTGTGCATCTTCGTGTCTATTTTATTCGTTTATTTTGAAGTAATCCTTCGTAAAGAGTCTCTCGGTCCCATTAACCGCTGTACTTGTGTCACAGCTCTATGCAGATGTCGTGCCAAAGACAGCAGAGAATTTCCGAGCTCTTTGCACAGGTAGACTATTTTGCATGTATTCTATCTTTCAGTAATCTACAAGGAAATTATTGCAGTTTGTGGAGTACATGGAGGGTATACTTTTGAGGTTTTTTTTTTATTAATTCTGGAGGTGGAAAATGAAACCGCATGCTTGGTTGCGTGAAGGGGTTGTTAGGTGCTAGATCTGAGTGTTTGTCTCTACGCCGTGTTATCTCTGCGTATTACTAGCCGTTCTTTTCTTGATATCAGCATATACGAATTAGGGATGAGGTCTTGGAAGATTTTTGGACTTGATAGTTTGAGTGGCGCTGTTTAATCTACTTATATCTTTATTGTGGGTGTTGAATGTTATGGCTTTTGTGTAGCTCTGATTTTTTTTTTTTTTTTTTTTTTTTTTTTTTTTTGTAAGTGATAACTTGGTAGCCATGTTTAGTAGAGACAGTCTCCCATGATTCAGTCATTGATTTTTTTTTGATACCTGCAGGAGAGAAGGGTTTAGGCCGCATGACAAAGAAACCCTTACACCTCAAAGACACTATATTCCACCGAATCATTCCAGGATTTATGGCACAAGTAATATTAATAGATGAAGGCTTGTTTTGATGTAATACCGTGCATGATGCTCACTTAACTTTATCAGAGTGCTGTGCACTAATTGTCTTTTCCAGTAATGCATCAGCTTACTGCTAGGGCAGTTGCAGGTGTTATCGTGGTTTGTATCTATTAGTGACTTTCATGATGTTAGGGATATGACATCCTAATTCACCAGATGGATGAGGCACACGGAGCAATTGTAGTGTTACTGATACCAATTTGCTGTCTTTGACACAGGGAGGAGACTTCTCCAAAAGAGATGGTACGACCATTCACCTGTCTTGTTATGCTGGAAAATTCCGGGACTTCGTCTGAAGTTTCTACATGTCTTGTTAGTTAAATTTGGTCTGAAACCGTCTGAACAGATCGTTTCTCATTCTCCACAATGGCAGGTATTTGTTTAGTCTGGTTTTCTCACTGAAGCGAATAAGTTGAGATCAAAGTTGTCCGTTAGATATTTGCTAGGAACTGTTAAGAGAGGGTATTCGTAGTTCATTCTCTTATTTGATGATTTCTTTCACAAGCAGTGATACGAAGTTTGTGCTACAGGTAGATGTTAGACACAGAAACCGTTGGGTTTGATTTGAGGTCTGGTAAATTCGCGAGGTTAATTCCGTTATCTGTATGGCTGATAGTAGCCTTTTGTGTGGCCGTGGTTGGTTATTGGGTTTTGATTTCAAAGGTATGCCAAATCAAGATCAATGTACTCGGGCTGATAGGTATTCAGCGCACTCGCTTGGAGTACATGTTTTTTAAATCCTGGAAGTAGCTCGGCTTTCGCTTCTGGAGCACTTGAGTAGGTTTGGAGAAGGAGAATGGTTTGTTTTTCTGGCAATCTCGCGTGCATGTATCGTTCTGGTCGTAGCTAACTGGGTTGATTTTCATTTTGTCATGGGTCTCCAGGCACAGGCGGGGAGAGCATTTACGGTGGCAAGTTTGATGGTATGTATATCTCAGCCAACCTATTTGCTGGACTCAGTAGTTAATGTGGAAACGCTTCCTTGTTTTTGTTATGTCGTGGTATGTTTAGAGAAGGGGATTCTTAAACTAATCTAAACCTAAGAGAATATTTGGTTTGTGTGTGTCACATGTTTTGAAAAGATCATGCCAGGTATGTGGCCAGAACTTCTATGCGGTTTGTTTTTCTGCGTGAACATAAGTTTAAGGTCTAGGAAATACATGTTTTGGTTTGTCTAAGATAGCGGTTTTGATTTGCACGTATTGGGTAGTTTTACACAGGTCACTTTTATGACTATCCGAATGGCAACACATCTGGCAGGCTCCCGCATTGAATATATTAGATCTAATTTAAGAACAGAGGAGCCATTGTAAATTTTTGTGTTCATTGTACAACATTTACTTGTTGTGAAAATGCGTTAATGTATTTTTTTTGGTTTCAGATGAAAATTTCAAACTTGGGCATGATGGAGCAGGGATACTTTCGATGGCAAATGCCGGCCCAAACACAAACGGGTCACAGTTCTTTCTTACTTTTAAATCGCAGCCACATTTGAACGGGTGAGAGACATCTCTCCTTTTCTTCGCACAGAATGCTTTTCCACTTCCTTTCTATGCGTTCTGTTTGTATTCGCTGGATTGACATGGGATATTTTAGTCCATAGAGTATGTGGTTTACATAATACAACAGTATCACTCGTGGTTATCCACTTTGAGTCATATTGGTTCAAACGCGACAACCTCTCTCAGTTTCTTGATTTTTTCAAATTAGTCTCACCCTTTTGGTATATAGCTGCTTTGCAGCTGCTGTGTCTAATGACAATTTTACCGGGATAATTGTTTGTAGGCCACGAATCTCGTCATTGTCCATCCCATATGACTCATGTGCCATTCAGTGGCGGGGTGAGGCAAACTTATGATTGTTCTAATATGGAGATTGTCGCTGATTGTTGGCTTATCCTTTCTTGTTCTTACTCTGTAATTTCGGAAAGGAAACCTCTGTCTTTGCTGATAGATATATTCAAACTGCCTGCAGGAAGCATGTGGTGTTTGGTAAGATAGTTGAAGGACTGGATATCTTGAAGAAGATCGAGGCTGTCCCTTCATCTGGTCAAAGAAACAAGCCAGATGTGCCTATAAAGATTGTGGATTGTGGAGAGGTGCTCCGAGACAAAGACAATGGTTCTGTTCCCGAGAAAAATGGTAAACTCTATGCAATCTATACAAGTCAAAAAAATGTTTCACTTCTCTAGCTCCATGAGCGTATGCTATTTTCTGGAAACAGCAATCTTTCTGGATAGGGCTGACGTTGCTGCACTAATATGCTACTAACGAATGTTGAATGCCTTTGTTTGCGGGTTTTAAAAAAAAATCCTAGTTGTTGTAGATATCTTGTGAATATAGTAATTTTGACTTTTAACTGAGCTAAAATAATATGTCTTCTTGGTAGATGACTAGTTCTGCGAGTATCGAGCTGGAAAAGTCACTATTGTGTTACTTCTGAGCTTTTTTTTTTTTTTTTGTCTTACCCCAGTCAAAAGGAAGATAAAAAAACACAAAGATAGTAGAGATGATTTCTCAAGCGATGACGATAGAGAGCCTGTTCGTTCCAAGCGAAAACCCAGGAAGGTTGTGAAAGACCGAAGGAGGAAGAGGAGGCGCTACTCTTCGGTATCTTCTGAAGACTCATCAGATTCAGATTCCTATTCAGATAATTCATCTTATACCGATTCCGACTCTGATTCAGACTCATCTTCTGAATTAAGCTCTTCAAGCGAAGATGAGAGACGGAGAAGAAAGAGGAAACCTGTGAAGAAGGAGAAGAAAAGAACGCATAAGAGAAGAAGAGAGAAACGCAAGGATAGGAAGCGAAAGAGGAGGACAAGAACAAGAAGAAGATCGAAGTGGTACGAATTCGGCTTGTTGATCGAGGCTGCTTACGTTTCTCACTTACCTAGTGTGATTGTGTTCCTGGTTTGTATAGCATTTGTGGACGAGCAAAGGTTTGCATATTGGTGTATTGCACTAACTGTTGATAATCACTCTGGTTGTACTTGTTGCAGGAGTTCTGATAGTGATAGTAGTGATTCTGACAGTGAAACGTCGAGCTCAGAGAATGAGAGTGATACGGGTAGCGATGTGAGTGCACGTGGTGTCAAGTCTAAAGGCTCTCAGAAAGCTCAAATTCGAGGTAATATAATTTTTTTCCTTACACCGTTGTGGCCTTGATCTTGATTTCAAGACTATATTCGTTTAAAGATTTTTATTTGTTTAATCTAGACTATACTTTTAGTAAAACGAATTCAGGTCACGGAGGATGACTTTGTTGCCGTCATGCTCAAGTTCGTTGTGCCTACTTCAATGCTATTTTTGAAGTTCTCATCTTGAGGATCGTTTTGCAGGGAAAATCAAGCAAACCTCAGCAACAGTGGAAAATTCTAGTCAGAAGGATGATGGTGATCTTGTCGAGAAACAAGTAGAAGTTGAGATAAAAGCCTTGAAGGAAGTTCAGGAATTTCCAAAACGTATCAAATCCCAGAAGGCCGTTTCAGACATAAGTTTATCGCCTCCACCCAGTCCCCGTCAAAGCCGATCCATGTGAGTTGCAGATTTCAGACCAGTGTTTGTGCTCTAGGAACGGTATTGCATGATTACTAGTTGTTTTTCATGTTGAAGTGGTATATTCAGTCGCTCTTTGTGCTTGTCCTGAAACGAAACTGGCATGGTGATTTAAGTACTCGGAGCAGAAGCCCTGAGAAGAGGAGAAGCTTGACTCGTAGTCCAAGTCCCATCAGGAGCCACATTCAGATTAAAAGAAGCCTGAGCAGGAATTCAAGCTTGAGTGGAGCCCCTCGCAGTCCTGGATCTGTCAAGAGGAAAAGTCGGAGTATGAACATGAGCTTAAGTCCTGATCCACGAAGTGTTCAACCTCAACGAGGTAGTGCACAGCGGCAGAGTCTGAATAGGAGCTCGAGTAAGAGTAGGAGCCCTGTTTGTCCCCCTGCTGAAAAGGCGCGAAGCCCCACACCTGCTGAACTTCCCCGTAGATCTCGTAGTCGGAGTTTGGTGCACAGTCCCAGTCGAGAAGGTACTCCGAAGAGGATCAGAAGAGGTCGTGGATTTAGCCAACAGTACTCATACGCTCGTCGGTACCGCACACCAGACCGGTCTCCACCGCGGACATATGGCTATGGTGGGCGTGGCGATCGGGATAGGCACGATCGAGGTAGAAATTACAGGTAATGTCAAATATAATGGTAGTAGTTTTCAGTCATTTTAACTCGTAGGAATTGGAGTTTTTCATTAGTATTGAACCTCATATATGTACGTGACGTTAGTAGCAGGTATGGAGGAGGTTACAAAGGTAATCGCGATTGGAGCCCAAGACGATATAGAAGTCCTCCAAGAGCCCGATCACCACCGAGGTGAGACCGCGTTCGCTTGTCCTGAAAAGGTTATCAATAGGTTCAACTTGATGTTTAAGGGCATGTGCTCTTTTTCTCAATGCTCTCAACTTTGTTATCATGTTAAAATCCTGAAAACTACTAGTTACTAGCCTTGCTGTTTCATCTTGATGCTGAAGAGCGTTGAGAGTTTTTTTCTGCATATCTTAGTGTCTTCAATGATGAACCTGAAGTTGGTTTTTCAATACACGATAATGCTTCATTAACTGGTGATAACGTCATATTTCGTCTGTTACTCAGATACAGGAGGCATGTCAGCAGGAGTCGAAGTCGTAGTCCTCCTGCCCGCCGTGATCTTAGCCGAAGGGATATTTCTCGTAGCATCAGTCGTAGTGCATCCCCGTCTGGAGGTCGTGCTCCCATCAGCAATGACCTCCGTAATCGCCTTAGGCCCCGACGTACTAGCTCACCTAAAGATGGACCAAACAACGGAGCCGCTGGAGCAGCGATACGTCGTTCTCCAAGTGCCACCTCTTCCATATCACACTCTCCAAGTCGATCGTCGTCCAAAAGTCTCTCACCTGGCAGGAAGAAATTAGTCTCCTATGCTAGGGATAAACCTGATCGCCGACGACGCAGGTCAACGACACCATCAGTCAGTGTTTCTCCATCGCGGAGCAGATCTTCAGGTGAGAATGCAGGATTAGTGTCATATGGAAGGGATGTAAGTCCTGGTCCACGATCACCCTAAGTAGTTTCTTTTGTTTTCATTTGTTTGGTTTTTTAGGTTTTCTCCGATATCTTACGTTTTAGTGCCTATGTATTTGTCCTTGCTTGTTACTTGTCAACAAGTCTTTGTTCAGCTCATGACGGGTAGCTGTGGCTTTTTCTTATTATGTGCTCAGTTCAGACGCTCACAAGCATGAGTTAATGTATGTCTATTGAACCTGAACAACTGCCGAAACAGCGGTCCTTATCGTCATTTAGCGTGACGTCGTCAATTAGTTAGTTGTCTTTCAGGTTCATGGCATTCAACATTTTCCACACATATACAGACATGTTCTGTTTTCAGATCTATCGACCCAGTGTTGTACTTGGAATGAACTGCACGTCTACTGCATTGGTTTGATGGGTTTGTGGTACGAAGTATGTTTGTCCTTCACTAAGTATTCAGTTCAGTTTGATCATGTTGAATTCGCTTCTGTTGAGTGAGATGCTTCATCTTGGGGAGTTGAGTGTTCCATATAAATGCCTTAATTGTGCGGCTTGATTATACTGCTTTGAACCCATGAAACTTGCATACATGGACATATGTTACATCGCTCTTAAGATTGCTCGAGGAGACAAGTGGTGGCTCTCATTCACTGCATGGATGGGTCTTCATTTTCATCAAAAAGGTTCATATTTTGCAGAGTTCACAACCCGTTTTACATATGGCCACATGTCTCACTGTTTTACATGTCTCACTGTTTTTGTCAAAAGGGAAGCAAAAAAACAAAGTTAACTCAATCTTTTATCTAGCAAAGTGCATTAACTAGGCGTTTTTGACATTTGTGCCAGATACTCTTACAAAGGAACAATTTCAATAATTGTTTCAATGTGTTCCTATTCATTGGTTCTTTGTATTCTAGATCTAAGTAGTCTTCACTGACTAAAAAATAGTTCATAGTAGTCTTCATACAAAACTGTCTATTTGAGATTATGCATTATGGGCATTATAAATTATACATTGTGCGTTACTAGCGTTTACCTTGTGGCAAATGATATAATTGGTGTTGTTGCATTTCATGCATGTGAGAGCATGAGTTTGGGGGATCAACCTTGCCTTCTCCATTGTCCAACTCCTTCTGCAATTTCTCCATGAGGAGCTCCATGTTGATGAGATGCTTCGACTTGCTCATGCTCAACTTGATGGAGTCCAATTTGTCCTCAAACTTCTCTATGCACATTTGCAAGCATTTTAGTACATTGAAGATGGTGGAGAATTTGTCAAGGTTGAAGTTGTCATCAAATATTGGAAATGAAAGGCGTAGATCAACATAGCGTATTGAAATGGAGATTGTGTGAGGGGTTGGAAATTTTCTAATATCCATTATTATAGAGCTGACTTCTCAAGGCCTAAGATTCCATAATGGTGGTGGTGGTGGTGGTCAACACCTAATATAGACATGAGTGTATTAAGTAGAGACATTTTGTAGAAATTGTGCAGGTTGAAGCTTCATAGGTTGTAGCTTTTGAGATTATTTTGAATGTTGAAGAAGGTACTTCCTTTCCAAAGAATCCTTAGAAAAACATTTGGTGAAACAAGAATAAAAGTTTTGAGAGTTTTGCTAATACTCAATTGTGATTTGATCCAAATTGGAGATAGTTTTCTTACTGCGTCTCTAAGCAACTTGAAAGGTGCAACATATGTCATGATGAAGAGCTTGTTTAGTCTATATTATAGTATAATTTGCATTACCAACTGCTTGCTTTTTTAAAAGGTTCAACTATTCTTTCAATAGGAGTCACATTCAAAGCTTGATTAATATGAGAAATGATCCTAAAAATGTAGTTTGTGGCTTGGATAATTGAGACAAAGATGGCAAGCTTACTATGACCTTGCAAGAAGCGTAATTGCTTATATTTTGGTAGAATATTGAATTGTAAAAGGGCCTCCTTACTTTAGTCATTGATCAAGATCAATGCCTTGCTCTCATGTCAATTGTTGACCTTAAGCAGCATTAACAAAACACCAATAGTAAAGGTTTATTCCATGTCCATCAAAGGTTGTTGTCAATAGTTCTACTAGACTTCCAGCTCAACTCTTCAATTGTAATCTAGATATGCTTCTGTTCAAAAATTATCAAACCATTGTGTTTGTAATTTTTCTAGTTAGATAAAAAGTATTTAAAGAAGATTTTAAGATATTACTCTTGCATTGAGTCAATGTTTAGTATTGTTAAGAAGCATACTTGACATATTAAAGAATAATTACATTTGTATTTTAGGAATGTGTAGCAACTACATTCAACAATGGATTTTCATCAGGATTTGATGCATTGCAATTCAAGGAGGAGGGAGTAAAAGCTGCTATCAAGAGCAAAAAGATCCAATTTAGGTATAGATCTATCTCATCTTGCTTTTATAAGAATTTTATTTCTTCTTTTTATATGAATTTTTTAATATTTAGCTTCATATGTATATATATTTATTATTATTATTATTATTATTATATATATATTATTTTAGTCACACTTTCAAAAAATGCTTCATTTGAGTCACACTTTCCATGACAATGATATGGATTCATCTAGTATTATTTACAAAGGAGAACAAACAATCCTTAGAAAAGAATATATTCTTCTTATGTAATTTATTTCAGTACACCCTTCATTTATGCTAATAAAGTAGGTTGAACTTCAATTCAAATGTGTTACAAAAAAGAAGTATAAATATTACCATAGCTACTAGAAAACAATACCTCCTCCTACTTATATAATTCATTTATTGGTATTTCCATCATTTATATTAGTAAATTAAGTTTCATCTTCAAGATAATCTTAAAACTTACTTGTTATGCCTCTTCTTCTTTTTTTTTTTTTTTTTTTTTTTTTTCTTATTTTGCTAATCATGTGGAAAGATATATTATAGAATTGAAGATATAAATATTAGGTTTTACACATCAAACTACAAAAAATAATCTAAATTCAAATAGTGAACTTGTTCCCAATTTTCTATTTTGAATATTATCATCCAATTGAATTTTTACTCTATAGCAAATCTTCAAATAACAATTAAGAACTAGTTCAAGATATTACAATTTTAGTTTTATTTATTTATTTATTTTTTATATTTATGTAATTTTTTTGCTTTACATTGTCTATTACAAAAATGTAGTTTTTTGAATCTATTACAATATATATATATATATATATATATATATATATTTCTTGCAATTTTTTTGGATATTTAATATGTTTGCTGTTATTAAAGTTTAAAATTAACTGAAAAATCAACTATTCTATCAATTGTAATATATTAAAGAGCAGATATAGCCAATAAAACCACATCTTTTCTTTTCTTTTTCTTTTTTTTTGTTCTTTTCATCTTAAATTTTCTTTTATAAATCTAATTATCCAATTCAATATTTGTTTAAATTCAATCAAAATAAACCACAACATAATGCCCCTCAAACTTCATGTTCTTATACTGTTTTAGTCACAAATTAATAATTATAGTTTAGTAATTATTTATAGTAATATTAACTTTTAGAAGTATATAAATTCATTTATTAAATAAAATCTATGTAATGTTAAAGGAAAAAACTTCTTTTTCTAATAATCTAAGCCATATAAACCTAAAAAAATAAGCACAATTTAATTATCATAAAAATTTAAGATTAAGAAATATAATATTTAATTATAAATAATAAAAAATAAAATTTCAATTCACTTTCTCTGCAAATCTAAGTTTAAATTAAGGTTTTTGTATAAAGCTTAATCTAAAACCTAAATTATCTTTCCAAAAATAATAATTCTATAAAAAGAGATTAATGATGAATACAATTATATACTTGCAATCTTCTTTTCACGTCATTGTGGTATTTTTTATAGTTTTTAATTACAAGACTATTAAAATATCAATTCTATCCTTTGAAAACAGCTAATACTAATTGACAACTAGTCAATGAATAGAAAAAAGAAATAAAATAAAATAAAAACCTTTTTAGCAAGACTTATCATAAAGATGGTATAATAGTTATATAATATAGTAAAGAAACTACTAAGAAGACATATTCTATTTATTAAATAAACAATCTCTTTTTATTATAAATTATATTTTTTTTATTTATAGAATTCTAAAAGAAAAAACTACATAATATTGTACATATAAGATCTTTGTCCACAAGATGATTATTTAAATAGAACATAATTCTTATTGCTTTGCTTAACAAGCAACCTTTTATGATGCATTACATTGAGAAGCTTACTTCACAATACTCCAATATTTTATAGCTATTTATGCTAAAGAAAACAAACTCAACCATTCATAAAATAGCTTGGAAGAAAAATCATATTTCTACCTACATAAACTTATGAGCATATGGCTTATATTTGCCATGTTGTGTAATTATTGCTTTTAGAACTTTATAAAGAAAGAAATTTTCTAATTCACAATAAAAAGGAAGTTCCCACATAATGATTTCCTCAAATAATGTAAAATAAAAATTTAGATACAACTTCTAGATTATAAAACAATATCAATTTAGCCACAAAAATAAGTTGTAACAAAATAATCTATTTGAAAACAATTGGTTTGGCTACATAAGCATATTTTAAATTATTATATTATTATAAAATAAATCACATAAGTTATATGAATTTACTATACTACAATAAATGAAAATCACTAAAGATTTTTTACTAAGACTATTAATTTAATTTTTATGAATGATCGGTTTATTAAAAAAAGAAATTGAAACAATGATTAATAATTTGAAATATTATAAAAATATTAATTTATTTACATAAAATTTTCTTTCATCAAATTATATATATATATATAGATAAATTCCATGACTAAATAATGTGGTTAGAAATTAAGTTTAATCATAAAGATTATCAATCTTATATGTTTAAGCAAATAAAGACATAGTGATATATTTTAAAAGAAAAAAGAGAAAAGAGAAAAATACTTAAATATATTTAATATAATATTAATGATAATAATTCAAAAAAATATGAAATTTAGTTTTTAAATAAAAAGACATCACCACAAATCTAATAAACTGACCACTATGATTTAGTTTAAACAATGTTGAGACAAAGAACCAATTGCATATAATGATTAATTTTTTAGCAATAAAATAGTTAAAAATTTGTCAATGGGTGTGTAAATTTCAACAAGTCAACTAAATGTGAAAATGAAATCAAGTTTTTTGAAGAAAAATCTATAAAAAAAATTCACCTGAAGTTAGATTAATATACAAGCTAAAGATATTTTGCTGAAATAAACAAAAAAGACATGCATTGTAAGAGCACCAAGTGTGCACAAAACCTATTTATTTAAATATCTATTATATATTAAAATAACTTATATATTTATATTAATAGAATCTAATATTTTATAACTTAATATACAAATTATAAGGACCAAAAAAATCACAAGAAAAATACAATCACAAGCACATGTATATTAATGCAATAATCATGTTGTTTGTGTTAATGATATTCTAATTATGTAATATTAATGTATACAATCATATTAGAATTTAACAATTGCAATATTAATGTTTACATTCATATTAGAATTCTTTTAATATTAGCCCATTATTTACTTGGTGATTAGAAAGATTCTGCAAAGAAATGACATAAGACTTTCAAGTGCCCCATACGAAGGGGGATATTGGATTTTTTTTTTTTCCAAAAAAAAAAAAAAAAAAAAAAAAAAAAAAAAACGTCCTGATATATTTTATAAAAAATCAAATAAAAAGCTCATTGTATTAATCTTAAATTAAATTCAGAAATCCTTGTTGGTATTGCATTTGGATTTCATTTTCTTTTAATCTTACACAGGTTATATTATTTTTTAAACATTGTTACTAGTAAAAAAGTAATATTAAATAATAATATTTTTACATTAAAGTTAATTGATCTTAATTCATCATAGTTTTACGGATACTAATAAATTGGATATTGATCTTGATTATAGTGCATTATGTATGTGTTTTTGTATGTGTATATGTATATATATATATATATATATATATGGATTGTAATAAAAATATGGATTGTAATACAAAAAATTGGTAAGTATCTTTTGTAGCTTTTTAAGATTTTACAATTCAGAATTGAGCTAATATTAAAAGAATATATTCTAATAAAATAGGTTAAAAAGATAAAATAGAAAAAAATAATATTTATAATTGCAAAGAAAAGCCAGCATAAGAAAACTAGAGCTAGATTGTAACAAGCAAGAGCTACTATTGTTGTCACTCTAAAAGGTGGTATTCCTTATTATATCAATCTATTAGAATTATAAAAGAACTAAATATGACATCAATTTAGGACTTAATGTGTTTATTCTTATTATTATTTTTATGCCTAAAAAAATTATTATTCTAACTCCACAACTTTTTCTTTTTCTTTTTGTTAAAATTATAAAAACTTCTATATATTTTATTAATATCTTATAAGTAATTGTAACTTATTTTTTTATTATAAAATTTATAATCAATAAAAAATTATAAAATAGAATCTTATTTAATTATTACAAAGCACTAAAAAAATTCTACCATTTTAAAAAATTAGCTTTTAAAGAAGATAATGTCATTTTAGTTGATGTAATAAAAGAAATTTAAAGATAAAATTTTATATATTTAGATTATTAAAAAATTACAAAACCTTACAAATTCTAGTTTGTGTCATTGATATATATATTGATACTAATAATTACTAAGATAAGAGATATTTGGTAGAAGTAAAATTAGATAAATTTGATAATATCTTGAAGAGATGGTTCTTAGAAATTTTATAGATATAGATTTGACCTTAAAAATGTTTATTGGAGATTGGTAGGTTGAAAAATTTGCTAACAAATTTGCCAATTGTTCTACAAGTTAGCCACTTTTGATACAAGTTGGCCATGTGGTGCATATGTAGGAGACTCTTTTGCAAGTTAGATATTTTTTTTGTAAATTTGAAATGTGTCAAATGACCTATGGTTGTTATATAGCTCCCTAGTTAGATAATATACATAAAGGCAAAAGTGAGGCCTTTTTTCATTCTTGTCAATACCTATCTTATATTCTTGTCTTTGTTTGAGAATCTTCAAACTCTTTGTATTTAAAAATAACCATTCTAGTTTCTATCTTATAGCTATCTTTGATTTGTCAACTTTCTCTTCTTGAGTGTCATAAAAATGTATTGTTTCTTTAGTATTTGATTTTGATTCATGGTCTTATACCACAATGTCAAGGATTTGAATTGAAAACATTAAAATCCTCAACACACTCTTGCATCACTCAAAAGAATAGATATTTATTCAAAGATAATATAATATTAGAATTAAAATGGCTAGAAGACTAAAGACTCTTGAAATAAGACTAAAAAAAACAAAAAAAAAAAAAAAAAAAAATCATTGATAATAGTGAAGAAGACCTCACTTTTGTCTTAATATATACTATCGAACTAAGGAGCCATATGGCAACATTATATATGTAATTTAACACATATCCAAATTGTAAAACAAATATCTAATTTACAAGACACGTTTCTTATATGTGCACCACATGGCCAACATATACCACAATCTACTAACATTTGCAACATATGGACAACTTATTGACTAAGTTTTCAACCTCCTAATCAACTACAAATATGTATAAATTCAAATTTATGTCTATGAAGCTTTTAAGAAGCTCTTCCATAAGATATTATCAAATCTAGCTACATTTACCTTCTACTTAACACTTCTTATCTATATTATTATACATATTTCTATCACATAGACATACATATTTATCAAAATTAAAATAATTAAATAGAAATAATTAAAAGTAAATAGATTTGATAAATTCTTATGGAGAAGTTTTTAGAAGCTTCATAAACATGGATTTGACTTTATATGTATTTATAATTGATGGCTAGGTTGAAAACTTAATCAACAAGTTGGCAATGCATCGCAAATGTTAGTAGCTTGTGGTACAAGTTGACTATGTAGCATACATGTAGAAAACTTGTCTTGTAAGTTAAACACTTGTTTCATAAGTTGGACATATGTTAGAGGTCCTATAGAATGTTGCGACATAGCTCTTAATTAGATAGTATATGTGGAGACAAGAATGAAGCCTTCTTCACCTTTGTCAATACATTTCTTATCCTTAATCTTATTTTTAAGTGTTTTTAATCTTCTTGCCTTTGATAATAGCTATTCAAGTCTTAATATTATCCTATTTTTGATTGATTGATTTTTTTTTTTTTTTTTGAGTGAAAAAAGAATGTTTTGATATTTTGATTCTTTATGATTCATGTCTTTGACATCTTCATACTTTGATTAATAATTTTATGATTTTTCATCAAAGTAGGTAGTTTAATCTATAATGGATTTTTAAAATGCATAAGACACATTTTATTCTTTTTGCACAACTTTTCAGAAAATTAAATAAAAATAACTTGCAATGGCACTTAAAGGCAAGTTCCACACTAATATAAGATTTTGAATTGTATTGATTAATCTATAAGTTCAAAAGAAATAACATTGATCTTATCAATTCTATTATATCTACAAAATCAAAGAGAAGCCAACACACTAAACAAATGGTATTATTTTGTAAGTGATTGTAGGCATTCAATATATTTGGTTCAAATAAACATATCAAATAGAATCTATTTTATATGAAAATTTTCAAAGATTATATTGTTTAGTATATTTTTATACAACACTTTATCATTTTACAAGTTTCTAAATGTTGTTTGATGCAATGGATATGATTATAAAACCCAATTACCAAGAATATAATACATGTTTTATTTATTAGCAATGTGTTGGCTAACAACTTCTACAAAACAAGCTTGACAAACTTGTATGATTTAGACTTATACTAATCTAAGAAATAGAACATAAACAATAACTTTGGTGAAGTCAAAAGTGCATACAACTGGAGATGTTTCTATTGAGAATGTAAAAATTAAAATGAAAATAAATAAAAAAATAAATGAAAACGCAAATTGACAAGAAAAATGATGTACTGCCATCAGGACTGGGCACCCCTAAGTAGCCTTGTTCAAGGAGGCCACAAAAGCAAGGGGTCAAAATGGTAGCTATTTTTAGGGCCCACAAAACACACAGCAAGGATTTTGCTTGTATTGACTGACTGAGTAACGCCCAAATATACCCAAAATCAGCTGCCCCACTTTACAAGTAGTAATGCGCTAGGTATTGCTGGGTCCCAATGGCCATCCATGCTTGTCTGCCTGCCTTGGAATCGCCGCCCATCGATAAAATCCCCCCCACAATTATCGACTCGCCTTGCAATTTTTGTCTGCTCCCTGTCTGATGTCAGTGGGCACTTTTTAGGGCTGGGCATTCTTGCAACCAACCTACGGCCCCCTTTCCCGACGACCCACCTTGGACTTAGGCGAGACAACAGTTCTAAGATGGGGTTTATTAGGGTGAGGAGAGAATGCGTTCCGCTGGGGTGTGAGTGAATTCCTAAGGCATGGATTCGTCTGTTGGGAAAAGATTGAAACGGTGTAAAATCAACTGGGCGAAATTGTGTCCAAGAGCAAGCCCACGGTTAGTAAGAAGGATTGACGATTGCGCTTCGGTGAATCTCAACCAGGTTCAGATGTTACAGATCGTTGATGCGGAAGGGCCTCCGATGCAAAACCCTGGCTACTAGAAATATTGCAGTCCAAGCTTTGGGTGTATTACGATGTGTGCGTACAATGCCTTCACAATGTAGTCCTCGCCATGGTAGCGTCTTATTTGTTCATCCGTAACGAAGCACGCTCTTCAAACATTCTTCAACAGCATGCTAGAGCTTGGAAGATGGAAAGCAGAATCAAACACAACTGACACTCATCTGCGGATTATTTTTATTCCTTTCCGTTATTTGGAATTGACAGTATTACTTCACAAGTTCACCATCAATATGTTGCATAGAATTGTCATGCAAGTTTACAAGTTCAAAAGCTTGAAAAACAAAGCCAGGAAGAAAAACCCAAGCGCTCGTAGTAAGTACTCGTTATAAGGATCATGCAACCTTTATTATCCCATATAGTCTTGAAACAGGAACATTCCTTACTGAACACACATAACCTTTAGCAATGTTCGAAGAAGCTTCTGCAGTATAGCTAAATAAACACATATGCGGGAAAATAGGTGGCAGATTTATGTCGTCCACCCTCAATGGTTTCGAGGTCCTCCGAATCGGGAAAGTAGCGCTTGGTTGCCATTGGAGTGGTGCAACTTGGTACGGCCAAAGTTTTCGCGATGGCTTGCATGGTCCCGACTTGAAGGCAGGAATCGACGGTATGTTATTCGCGATGCATATATGTGGCCTTGCTGGCCTCACTCTACGGCCGAACCACTAAAGTAATGCAACACCAATAGTCAGTGTTTATCTGTAATGTTCCAAATCTGTCCTACTTCAAAGAATCCATGAAAAATACATGGGCAGAACTACCATGACTTGAAGAATGCCCGCAAGGCAGGAGCTCAACGAGCCTGCCTGCTCAGAGTACTCAAAGATTGAGTGTCTCTAAGGCCTGTGGCTACTCAAAATAGAGCTCCAAAAAAATCGAGTAAAAGAATGCCCAATCAAATATCAATGTCTATCTAGTTCACCCTTTCAAAAAATATACAACTATACAACAAAAATCTTGGGTGACGCTTTGAACTTCCGCTTCTGAGGATTTGCTTCACGGAAGATGGCGTAAGTTTCATCTTCATCACAAGTGAGCCAACTCGCAGCGTTAGGGTTTTTAAGCATCAATTTTGCGGTGAGGAAACCAGCGATCGACCACGTTTGATACAGACGAGCCTGTTTTCCAATAAAGCGACCCTTCTTTGTGTCATAATATTCAGGCCACCTGTCGCGTGACAAGCGCTTCTCTGCGATTTCCACAGCCCTCTCTGCAAGATCGGCACGGTTCATCTTAATGCATGCTACAGTGAATTGCCAAAGAAGAGTTGGCCAGGAACCTCCATTGTGATAAGACCAAGCCCTGCAGAAGAACATTGATGTAATGAGTTGATACAAGGAAAACACTCAAGTTCTCGAAAGTCGCAACCAAATTTGGCATACCGTATTCTAAAAATAATAAGCTCTAAAGCTGGATTGATAGACATGGAATTACTACGTAATATAATGCGTTATTATGGACAGAGTACAAACCAAGCCACAACACAAAAGAAGACGGGCAGAACATAGAGAGACGGCTTATTACGTATTCTTAGGGTCAGCACCCGTGATGATGCGCCACTCTTCATCCGTAAGAGCAGGAAAACAAATCTTTATTGGCATTGTTGCTACAAGGTCCTGCCACTTCGATTCCACAAGCCTCAAAATATTTTCAGATTGCTTCGGGGTAGCCAAGCCACCGCAAATAGACCACATATTACCCAGAGTGAACCATCGAAAATCCATGTGTGCAGGTTGTAGATTGCCAATAAAATAACCTCCACTTTCGGGCAGCCAGTCCAGCAACCACTGCGACACCTGCTCTGGGTATATGTTGAACTTGTTAACAGCTTCAGTAGAATACTCCTCGGTCTTGTACCGGTAGATCTCATTTAACTTAACGATGTCTAACCAATAGTACTCTTGGATATGGAAAGACAATGCGGCCAGCCTTGAGTTAATTTGACGAATAAGATCTTGCGCTCCTTCCTCTGGTAAGAGGATCTCTCGAGCACATCGCAAGGCATGATAAAAGAGAGCCTGCACAATGCAGCAAATTAGTACACTAATATAACACAGTTGTGAATACTGTGCTTTTCAGTTTACCAAAAGTCCACCTTGGTCTTGCTCTAAGAGCTCAGGGCATCCAACTTTTCGAAGAAAAAAGTTGTGAACAAAATAACCACTATCGATCAATTAAGCAAAACACAAGCAATAATAATTTGCGAAAGAAATATCGACAAATAGTAAATAATATTTCTTCTAAAATTCAAGGGCTGAGGGATATGTAACACGTATAATACCTGAATTTCAAGGGGATGCCCATGAATACCCATGCGGCGATCAATCATACAAGAGCCATCGGTCACCAGCAGAGTTGGAAACATATCGAAACCGTCTGCTAGACAGACTTTTAATATCATTTTTATGCCTGTCTGAACATCCACCCTTTCCTGGACAGACTTGTCACCTGTGCACTTGCCATACGCCCGCAAAAGAATGATCCACCAGAGCCCTATCCAAAGAGAGACTCCAATGAGAAACTTGTCGAAACACCAATAAGTGCCACATAAGTTGCGAAAAAAACATAAGACCTACGTAACTACACAAAGGCTCGAGCTTTAGTCTTTTCTTTACAAGCACACTTTTGTCTAAAGGAAAAACACCAACCAAAAAAATCTGAAACAAATTAAGCACCAGAATCGACTGGAGCAACGCGACCAATGGCTGCTTCCCCAAAATCTGGATCCAAAATCTCCTCAGTTCCATTCTCTTCATTGCCATCTATGTGTACTGTTCGGACCTTAAAGCTTGCTGGCATCAATCCTTGACCCGGGCTGTAGCAATCCACTGTCTTTTCCCAGCTCTGTTTTAAAAGATATCACATTATTAGCACATTGAGACTGGTTCGAGACAAGAAATAAACAAATAATAGTGCAAAGTTTTAAATGAATACACTACAGGCAAACACAAATGGAATATTGACGACGATTGCTACGAATCTCTTCGGAACGTATCAAAAGCGTAGACTGGGCCAGCGTGAGCCAGTGATCAAAGCGTTCTAACAGTCGTTGGTTTTCCAAACCAGGACATAATCACCAACCTTCGCTATCAAAGGGATTGGATATCTAAATGGTTACGTCCAATGCGACACACACCAATAACTTTCGCAATGGTCATGGAAATTATCAAAGAACTGCAAGCAACGAGCTTGAAACCATGCACATATGTTTGAAGAAAGGACCGACGTCGGACCTGTAGCTGCAAGGTGTGCAGAAGAAAATTCCTGACAATTTCAGTTTCTCCCTTGAGCAGGAACGCGACAGCAGATGGGATGAAGTCACGAATGAACACTTGATCATAATTCAAAGGGTTGGGATCGGTCGGGTCTTTGGCAGCAATAGTTCCCACCGGCTCTCCACAATAGGTCACCACGGCTTCTCTCAACAGATCCCATGCTTCTTTTTCTAGGGCATTCTCAACCGGAGCGTTGAAAGAAGAGGGCGCAGAGGAGCCCTTCTGTCCAATGCCATTGAGCAACGCCTCAACAGACAAACCACTAGTGACATTATGAGCATTTATGAACTCCAAAAGTCTTCCTTGCTCAGCTAAATTTTGCTCACAACGAATACATGTATGCCCATCGGAAGCGCTGGTATATCGCTCTCTCTTCGTTGTTCTCAGAGCCTTCTCCCGGAGTTTACATGTCCATGTCCGCTCCTCTAGCGAAGACAACCCACGGAGACATGGTCTTAACGAAGCAGAGACGACATGCTTTGGGAGGTGTATACGAGAGCTAAGATGTCGGCATCTTGGAGCTGCCAATACATCCACCAGCTGGAACGTCGAACTCATATCATAAGGATTAGATCCGATAGTCTTCAGCTCCGCGATTCGACTCAACTAAACTAATCCACTCGTGTTCGATTCAATTTATTGAACTGTTCCGAACAATGCACCTAGAAACTCCGCCACGCTCAGAATTCTTCCCCACTCGCAACCAAACTCCGATAGCAATCGCTCAATCGACCAGATTCCACACAGACTAAGAAGTATTACCCTAACAACACCGGGACGATACTTCAACTCGACGACACAGCACTACAGGGGGCCAGACGCCGCTCTTTCTACTCCGCTCATCAAAGATGAAACTGAAACTTGCATCCCGACGCACACGAAAATCGGCTCATATCCGATCTGGGACACGGACTGCGATAAATTCAATCTCCTGATTCGCCACGAATTTCTGGCTTGCCGATCAAGGAGTGTGCCAGAGTGTTGTTGTAGGTCGCAGCATCACGTTCCTCACTCGTGCCGAATCGGACGTAGATATAGTGAAAAGATCTACATTAACATTGTGGATTTTATAGACCTCCAATTTGGCATGGATTCCGTAAGACACCGTTCACACTGTAAGAATCGCGGTCAGCGGGGCAGAGAGAACATGCTTTTCCTAGAAAGTAGAAAGAAGAAAGGGCATAATGTTTCTTTATCTTTTAAGATAAGGATGAAGTTCTCCGTGGCTCTGCATTCATAAAACATCCACTTTTCTTTTATTGGTACATTGTCTTTTATTGGGTAATTCCAGAAAGAACTCAACAATTCAACTTCTTCTTCATCCATATTTTTCATCCATGATTATATTCATCCATTCCGTCAGACTTTGGGTTTTAAACTACGGCCGTTTGCTCAATCGCAGCTTTTACTTTGATCGTGCTTCGGGATTCGTAACTTTTGCGCTTTTCATACGCACAATTTTGCTTCAACCGGACTTTTGGATTTTGAACTTTGATCCTTTTCACACTCGCGACTTTTACTTGCATCAGGCTTTTGGACATTTTAGTTCAACCTCTTTTACACGCACGCTTCCACTTGCTCACACTTATGGGAAGTCACCAAATAGATGGCGAGAAATGAGTGTATGAGTAAAGATTCTTAATCGAACCATTCAATTTTAATGCAATGTTTACTTTTTGTGATTAAACTAAAGCTTTGAAGGAAAGTATTAGTGAAATTTGTCCTAGTTGTATTTTGATGCTTTTAGATTTGATTTTATTACAATATCATCCATTATTAAATTTTATGAAAATTCTTGAATTTCAAATATAATATTAAAATTTAAATATATATATATATATATATATATATATATAAACATTAACATTTTCCAATGGAAAAAAAAGAGTATTTATCATGAAAGGTGGCATATTGAAGGCACAATGGATATCAACCTTGCTAAGGCTTTGCAATCTAGGTTGTTTGTTTCTACTTTAGTAACCATGTTGCCTCATTAGTTGTGTGGCCTTGTCTTGCCCAATCACATATAAGTACTTATCTCTATTCATTAATATATAATTTTTTAAATCAATTGATTATTAGAGATAAAAGGGTCATTAATTATGAACCATAGAATGGAATTGGTTTCCAAAATTTTGATCAACTATTTGATGTTAATAGTTTTTAGAGAGTTGATTATTATGGATGAAATATATATATATATATATATATATATATATATATATACACATGCATGTATTGAACTCCATGTCATTTTTTGTTGATATTTTAAGTTTATCATCTTTTTTATCTTTTGCTATTTTATACTTGTTTTATAAATCACTATGAGTTCATTATTTTTCTATATTCTATAGAAAAAATTGACATGTTGTAACAATAATACAACTAAAATAATTGCATCTAATATGTGACATTTGATATTCAAAAGAAAAAAGAAAAAAAATATAAATTAATTACTTGCAAGCTAAGGCATCTTTATAGAAAAAAACAAAAACAAATAACTAAGTAGTGTGTCAAATAAGGAAATTTGAAATCAGCCCATTTAAATCTTAAGACAATCCACCTTAGTCCTATAAATCATCACTCAATCTATGTTATTACATTGGTATAGATGAACTTAGATCATCCTAAAAAAGGAAGGAATTTGAGGTCTTTCTTGCCTTGCTTTTGTATTGGCTTTGATTTTGGAGCGCAATGGATACCCAATTCCAACACACACATTATTGAAGCACATCCTCACTTGATACCATCTACCCCCATTTTCCTCCTTCTCTTGTGCCATTATGGAAGTAAGATAAGTCAACTTAAGATTCTAGTGGATTGATTTAATATTCTCCTTTAAATATTGGTTTGTAAATTTTATTCAATAAAATTGACGTCTTTTATTATTAATAACCAATAAATTCATTTTTTTGTAATATTATATATATATATATATATATATATATATATATTTATAGATATTTTTTTCTTTTGGTAGAATCTTAATAATATATTTATATTCAAGATATTATGAGAATTGTAGTATTCATTTATGAGACACAAAAATGAAAAATAAATGTTGTTTTTATTCAAATAACCACATTGGTTTTAAATTAAAAATTAATTAAAAGTATTAGCCCATTAATGCATAGTTGAAGAAATCTAAATAACAGTTTTTGAAAACACAACAGCATCCAAGAATACGAGTCCTAAATTAATGGGAATTTATTATAAAAATAAAACTAAAAATTTGAGTTATTAATACTGTTTTTTTTAAAACAAAATGTAAAAGTTATTTTTTTTATATTTTTTAAACAATATTTAATATTTATATTAAATAATAAAGTATAATCGGACTGAATAGAATTAAACCTATATTTGTACTAGTTAACTTATATTTTGATTACTTTTGTCATAAGTTTGTATTACTAAAATAATACTTTCAACACTTAATTTAAAATAATAAATATTTATGAAATAAAAAATATTTTTTAATATTAATATAATTCTACATATATATATATATATATATATATATATATATTAAGCAGATTTTAAAAGAGAGATTTATTAAAATTAATTCACAAGCAATAAATGCCTAAGTACTATAAGTCACAAAATTGAATACAAGTGATGGTCTATAAACTCTAATAGATATTACAAGAAAATTTTAAGGCAAATTTATCCACTCTAAATTTAGAAATAATAATAAATAATATTCTTATCAATGATAGTTTTTTTTAAAAGAAAAATAAATAAATAAATAAATAAAGAAGAAAAAATGTAATATTGCAATGTCTTTTATATATAAACAATTTTATTTTTTTGTACTTATTAAAATTAGAATCTTATAAAGACTTGTATAACCAAACAAAAAAATAAAATGAGAGTGCATATTGTAGCTTATGCTCTCTATAATTGGTGTTATAGGTTGTTGTAGAAAATATGTCACCATGTTGTCACAATAACAAAAAAAACTTCTTTTTTTGTAACAAAAAATCAACTCTTCTAAATATATGGTTGCTTAATTGGTTTAGATTTTTTAATAATTTTTTGCACAACCAAGACCTTGAAATTTTAGGTGAATTTTAGCTTGTAAATACATTGAGTTTCTAATTATGGAAGGATTTAAATTATCTTGAAGTTGGATTTATAATCCAAAAATGATACAAAAGATATTTAGAAATACTTTTTTGACAATCTTAAATAAAATAATCAAGCTCCCAAATATCCTAAGTATATCCTATTAATCATATAAAAAGTCTAAATACATTTTATTAAATATCTATCAACTCTAAAGAAATCTTAAATAATCTTCATTAAATTATAAAATAAACCTATCCATCCTAAAAAATTATAAGTAAATTTCTAATTAATTCTTAAAATATTAAAGATAAATTATAAATAATATTTTAGTTCTAAAAAACTCTAATATATCCTAATTTAAACTTATATTATAATGGAGTTCTAAAAGTTATTTAAAATTGACTATTGATTTCAATCTAAACTTTTCATACTTATTAATTTCTTTGTTAAAAAATAAATAAATAAATAAATAAAATAAAAAAACTAAATATCTAAAACTAAAAAACTAAAAAGCTAAAAAAAATTGAAGAAATTCTAATTAATAAATGAAGAAAAAAGACACATAATCTACTTCAGTATTAGATAGCCTCCTTCTCCAACCTTGACAATTAGCTCTAAGTGCAAATCTTTTTTTCTTGCACTTATAACTTGCACTCAAAATTTGACTAAATGTTGGAATTTAGTTCAACTACTAGCTCACCAATTTTACTTCAACTCAACTATTAGATTGCTAAAAATCTTTAAAATCTTTAATAATCCTCAAACTACCAATTATCAATACCTTAATCTGCTTAAAGTTCAATAACTTTTAATTTGTCCAATCAATTAAACTCAAACTCAAGACACAACTTCAACATAAAAATTTATGTAAAACTATCATATTTTAGTTGAATATTTGCTATATAATGCTTAATTTTTATTAAATTTAAATCCTATTTTATTTCTTAAATTAGATTCCTCAAAATTCAACCATTAATTTTCATAATTCTTACAAAGTCATGGCCATTTAAAACTCCTTAAAATCAAGTTCTATAGAAATCTTTCTTAAGTTTTCAAATAATAATTGAAAAAAAAAAAACCTCTTATATGCCATAAGTATGTGTTGCTTAAATATGTTGCTAAAATTAAGATTCATATTAAAACTTAATATGAAAATCTATTGATTTATTAAAGTATCATATATGGAAAATATAGCATATATGTTTGCTATTTAGATGAATATGTTAGTTTCAAAAATTACATACTTAAATATTTTTTTTTAAAAAAAATCTAAGTATATTTTAAAATATATATATATATATTAAAACTTAATATTGATAAGAATAATACTTATTTTATATCTTGTGATACTAAAATAATTTGTGAAGTATGATTTATTTTCAATCTAGCATTAAGTAATGTATTATTAGAAAAAAATAACAGAAAATTATTAAATTTTTATTTTTATTTATAATTACATAAAAAATGGCTTACTATTTCTTTAGAAGTTGAATATTGAGTTTTTATAAATACTTTGTGTGAACATTATCTTCTAAATTTTAACATATACTAAGTAAAATTTTCTATTTTAAGTATGCATGTGTAGCTAAAGAATAATATAAACAAGAGCACATGAAAAAATAAATCACCTAAATTATTTTGATTTTTCTATAATCATATAAATATTTTTAAAATATATTTTAAAATTTGATTACTTAATTATAAACAAAAGGTGTTTTAAATAGTTGTGCAATGGTTTTGAAGCACATACCAAGATTCTTCAAAGATTAATTAATAACAATAAGATGAAATTGTAAATTTATTTTACAAATACCTTTAAATTAATTTAAATAATTTAAAATAGTAATTTAAAAATAAAAATTTCTAATTGGTATATTTAAGGTAGAATTTTTTTGAAATATATAGATTATAAGGCCATAGTGTCTTAGTACATTTGAGTTTCAAGGCTCTAATATTTTAATATTATTTCGAATACAAAGAAAATATAGTAAAGATTTTAAGATAAAAAAAAATTGAATTAACCTATTTTAATTTTTAAAATCTTTAAAACTTTCTATTTGAGATGCATATACTTTAAATATATATATATATATATATATATATTTATATATATATATTTATATCTATATGTTTATTTTTTTCTTTAGAATAGTTAATAAATTTGTATTATAAAAATATAAAAAAAATATACATAATATATTGCTTAAAAATATAGAGCATGTTCAAAGTCTTCTAGAGCACCTAAAAATACACAGAAATAATTCAATATTTAAATAATACTCATTTAAGAATAGACATTTAAAAATCTTTACATCTTAATTAAAGGTTCCAAGTTGATTTGTGAAATAAAGACTTGTTTTCTAATTTAGACTCTAATTATGATTTTGGCATTAATTACACCTAGAAAAAAAAATATCATAAAATATGTTCTATTGTATAAATCATTTGCCAAGTTCCATAATATTATTAAAAAAACTTTAGTTTTTTACATATAAGAGATGAAATTTAAAACTTTTTGTAGAGATAATATTAAAAAAATCAATTATATGGATGGCACTATTTTATATTATAAAAAAGAATTGAATATAATAATAAAAGTTCTACCTTTTTATTAAATTTTTTTATAGGATACAAAGATTCAACTCATCAGCACATATATTGGTAATAGATATAATTATATAATTTTAATGTTTTTTTTATATATATATAATTTTTTGCATGATTAGTATAGAATTATTAGTTAATTAATCTTATATTTTACACATAATTATCTTAGTAAGAATATAAATTTTAATTTTACCTTTACAAAAAGAAATAACTTTTCTTTCTTTATCAACACGAAACAAATATTGTTAAAAGTCTCTATTTTATATTTTTATATTTAAAGACCTTAAAATTATATTATAGTAATAATTATTTAATTAATATTTTTATATAGAAGATCAAAAGTAAGAAAATTTCAAGCATTGTTGTATTATAAGTTGTCTTGTTTGAAAATGCACAAGGCTTTTGGCTATAGAAGGTAGAATTAAATTTTGCAACTATCTAAAAAATCTTAATAGGTTTTGGCTAACTAAGAATAATATTATCCAATTTAACTTAAGATATTTTAATGCTAATGTAAAGTATGAAAAAATAATATTTTTAATAACCACAAGCATGTACAAACTCTAATTGCTTTGTTACTTTCATTCCTTTGAAATTTCAAATTTTTCTTATAAATCCTAATACTAATTAAAAAACTTTAGCAAATCATAACTCTTAATCTAATTATTTAAGTGGTGTAAATTTTTATATACTAATACCATTGTAAGGCTTCTATAGGCCAACAAAACTTTAGCACAATTCAATCTACAAATTTTGTGAAAAAGCCAAAATATCACACTAATGTCTCTCACTTGCCAACTTGAAAATTGATGAAGAAATTCCAGCAACAATTTTTCTTCCAATTCATGACATTGGTTCAAAATTGGTTTATAGCTTGGCCATAATGGCTTTTAATTTCTTGCCAAGTTTTATCTCATTCCAACTAATAGACCTTCAAATATTGCAAAAACCCTAACCAACCTTAACATGCCCTAAACTTGGTATCTCTTTGCACTTGTGATTAGATATCTCTTACTTGAATTGACACATTAGCGTGAATTTTTATATATGTCTATTACACACAATGAATTATACACTTAAAGAAATTTCAATCATAGATGTTACCTAGAATGAATAAACTAGCTAAGAATGTGAGCTCTAATTTTATTGTCTACTATCCAAATTGTCAATACAAACCTTGACTTTGAATAGCTCTTCCAATGTCATTTCTAAACCAAATGAAATAAGCCTTTTGTCCCAAGAACCAATTCAAAGTTAGCTTGCCAATACTACACTCTAATCTATAAATACCTTGTATTTTGTACTAGGTAATTGTTTTAATGGATTGGGATTTGATTTTGACCAACACTAACAAATTGATATCTCTTGAGTATCAATCCATCCAATCCTAGGATTCTTTTAGCACAATCCTACTCTTAGATTCACCTTCAAGTTAATCACATCAACTATCACCTAATCTACCTTATTTTTACCATTTTATGGCCTTTCTAAGGTGGTAGAAGCATTTTTGCGGTAAAACACAACCTTGAAGGAAAAATTGCTTAGTAACCTTAACCTATTAAATATTAAGACAAGCAAAATAAACTATGAGACTTTCATAAAACCTTGTTTAAATATCTTGAATTCTTGTTGAATTAAGATAATAGAGTATTAATTGAAAACTCATTTTGTTTATATTTTCACCATATAATTGTTTTACAACACAACATTATGCATTGATAATCTAAATTCTTGTTCTTAATCAAAGAATTGGCAATATTTGGTAGAATTTTCTACCTACCACATACAAATTTCTACCAAATAGCTCCTTCATACTGATGGTATCATGTAGCAATCTATTCATGGCTTCAACAATCTACTTTGTACTAGATAATTGTACTAGTAATTTTAAAGAATTATTTGACTTCACATTCTTTGGTGATGTAACAATTTTCTTCATTCTTGAGACCTAAGTATTATTAAAAGTAAAATAAAATACTTTTCTGTTGAGAAGTAATTAAAGATTTATAGCAGAAGAAGTAACCAATATAATTAAATTTGGTTCTTGCACACAATTAGTACATTGGATAAAATAGCATAGTACTTGGAAGAAGATTCTTTCCAGTATTCTACACAAGTTGCTATTGCTTCTGGAAAAAATACAGCATTTCAAAAAATGATTAAAAACAACAACCACATAACAAAAGAAAGGTGCCCAAGACTTGAATAAGAAAGTGGAGTCAACGATAATTTCTTAACATTCCCGTAGAAAACAATTTCAATGTAGAGAATTCAATATACTGCAGATGCAGCAGAGATGAAATTTGCAAATCCAACTCGATTTTACAGGCTGCACTTGACCAATACTATACAACTGGCACGCCCCCTTTGAATAATCGCCCAATTGCAAAAAAAAACTAGCAGCCCATGTGATAATCCTCAGGTTAAACTACACAAGCTTTCCCAACAGTAATATTTAACTATTTCACATGATAGCCACATCTAAGTATTTCCTTCTGCTTTTTATCAATGCTTTCTCGGTTAGTTCGATCCCTTGGCCTTGGCTGCTTTCACCATGTTCTTCAAGGAGTCAATCATCAAGTTAAGGAGCTTTTCTGGATCTGGAAGGACCGATTTAGCTGACATGACCACCAGGTTCGCTTTACCATTGTATGTTTGCAAGTATATGGACAAGGACTGCACCATCCCACAAGAAAATTGGAGTGTTAGCAAAGGGAGCAGGAAGCATGCATGACAAGACGGACATATAGCAGCACTGTGATAGCAGTCGCTTCACCTGTGGATGTCCAGACACTATAGGGAAGATGCCGACAATGGGATTTCCACCAAAAGTGACAGGCTCAGTTGGCCCGGGAACATTGGAGACTGTCAGTGTTGTTTGGAGAATGACTCGTCGCGTCAAGATTAGCGGTAGCTGGGACATCAAACATTAAGAGAGTTAGGTCGATCAGCTTTGGTGACGCAAAAAAAATTGCATTAAGATTCAAGACATGGGAACGATACAGATTTCACTCGTGACATGCGTTGAACTTACAGTGGGCCCAGTGAAGGCCATCAGCATGGCACCGCTCCAATAAGTAAATATCCCCTCGAGCGATGATTTCTTGCGATCAGTGTATTTTTTGGCTGCTATTACATTTTCCAGTGGATCCAGTTGGTGTTTTAGAGGAATATCGATCAGTAGGTATCCCATATGGTTACCCCACCGATGTTGCGACCCCCCATCCATCATGGATGCCAGCTCCTGCAACAATCGGCCAACGATGAATTCAAGACCTGGCTCTAAGTCGGTTCAAGCACTAAAAATAAATAAATAAATAAAAATAGAATCAGAGAGGGTGTGGAAATTCAAACGACAATTGAATGCTGGCCCAACCTGCAAACCTGGTGTTGCTCTGGTGTTCATTAAGGCACAAGCACGAATTCTCAGCTTTTCTACATGAGAGGCAACCTTCTTCATGTCCACTGCTTCAGCTTGGCCTTCCTTACCCCCAGCCTGCTTGATAGGAGAAGAGTCTGTTGCATAGCGATCTTCTAGATAGAGTCGGACCGATTCAGAGACCATGCCCATGAGGACGTCATTGATCGTCTGTAACCGCCAGAAACATCAGGTTAACAAAATCAAACTTGAAGCAGTATGTCCAAGAATCAGCAGCTTCTTCAGATAAAACCAACTCTCATAGATGTCTAATGCAATTAGCTCTCATTGACACCACTCACCCCATTGACAGCATTCTTAACAATACTCATATCAGTCATATCAATGCTTTGATAAACCAGCTTCTTCTTTTCCTTCTCAACCCCGAAGTGACCTTTGATCACGCTGTCACTGTCTTTCAACCAGATCGCCGTCGACGTGAACAAAAAAATGCCTACAAGCGTATTCCAGAAGAGAAAAAGTAATCCCAGCATCTGCCTAAACAAACTCTTCTTCTCCTTCACGCGTACCCTTGCCACCGGCACCGCAGGAAGCTCGTCAGGCTTCCCCAGTCGCCGCGTGCAAGCCAGCATTAGAGACATGAGGGACGTGCCATCCCCTAAGGCATGGTGCACTCGCATTATCATATGCGCAGTTGCTCCATCTTCCCCCGATTCGGTGCCGTTGAGCACGTGGAATTCCCACATAGGTCGTGACACATCCAATGGAGGAGCGAGGGCAAGGTCGGTGATGTAATCCTCTACGTATCGAGGAGCCGCCTTGTCAACTGTCGGTACCACGACATGGTCATCAATTTGGACGTCTACTGGAACCCATACATCGTTCCCCTTCTTGTCCTTCGACTGCACACAAGGGCATAAACCGAAAAAAAAAAAAGGTCAGAAAAGTTGAAAAAATAATAATAAAATAATTTTAGAAAGAAGTAAAAAGAGCCGCATCTCATTGTAGAGTATAAGGATTTATGGTGTGTAAAATGTGTGCTTACGATAATACTATGGAACCGCTTGTGATTGACGATAGTCGCTATCATTGTCTTTTTGAACTCTGGCACATCAATAGGGTTGACGAATGCCAGAGTGCACAGGATGTAGACATTCATTTCTTCTTGCATGAATAACCGTCCAGCTGGGGTCACAGGCTCATCGACTACGATTTCTGAATGTATCTTTGAGACCGTGGAGTCCACTGTGAAAGCTTCTTTCTCCTTGACATGGATTTTGCGCAAAGACAAGCCTGGGAATACATCGGAACCCATGGTTGCTGCACTGGTAGGGTGCTGTCCGAACTTCGGATGCTAACACGTGAGGGTCTTAATACATATTTCACTCCTGGCAAACAAAGGTTAACCGTAATAAATCAAAACCAAAGTATGACAAAAGAAAAACTTGGGGAAAATCCTACCAACACTAGCAATTGGTTAATTCTAAAGAGGAAAAAGAAAAAATTGCAATGACCAGCAAATAGGGAGAGTTTAAAGAAATCGCGAAAATCGGAAAAAGTGGTAGGAGGGGAAACGATTCCTGGAATGTTTCAGGAGACCAATAACCAACCACACACAGACTGCAGCTAACTTTCCACAAAGATCCAAAGTAAAACGACGAAGTTACTCAGATGCTCCTCAAATCTACGACCATCATTGAGAGAGTCGTTAAGGATTTTCAGGGGCCTACAGTAATCGAAAAAGTATCTCCGTACTGTCCAATGGTACAAACCGATGTTTCAAGTCGGAGCAAAAGATCAACAATACCGCCCTTAGTAGGGTTGAGGGACCTCTCCCTAGACCATCCCTCTAATACGCATCAGTCCATACCCCGTAACCCTACCCATGGAGTAGGCTCCAAGCTTTCACTCGCAGAACACGAAACCAGAGGAAAAAGAAAACAAATTGAGCAACACGCATTCTAGTATTTACAAATCATACTTCAACACTCCACCTAAAACTACACACAAACTCTCTCGAATCTCTTCAGCATCTCTAACTCGCACAGATTATCGCACAATTTCCTCCAAACCAACCCAGCTGTCCCTCAGAAATTGTCTCATCCATTATCTTGTCCCAAGGGTATAACATGCCTCTGCGCGCCAAGTCGCTAGGACAATAGAAGGCAAGGTTTCCCTACCACACACTAAATTTTTCTCTCACTCGCGCGCACAATAAGTCACTTCAACAGCGAGACAAGAAAAACGTACATATTACAAATAGTGGCACCATAGCTACTACGATAGAAAGTAGTGCGGCATCAAATGCGCAACAGAAAAAGTCTCACTCACATGCAAGAGCGCTGGCTCTCTAAAGTGAAAATTGCCCTCTGGACTCGTCGCTATACCCCTCCAAAACTAAAAAAATTGATGCAGTACGCCAAATCAATCTGTGCTAGTTCATAACTCGTCTCACGTCCTACATACCAAGATGTAACCGACTTGCACCGAAACACTATTCCCCTCCGTTTGCTCCTTCCCTCCTACTCGCTCTCTTAAGTGAAAATAGCCCTCTGGTCTCGTCACTACATCCTCCAAAAATTTTTTTTTAAAAATGCAAAAATTCACAGCTCGCCTCACGTATTACAAACCATCGTGTAAGCGGCTAGTACGAATACACTACTCCCCTCTGCTTGCTCCTTCCCTCCGGAATCCTATGCGGCCTTGACAAACACGAGTTGCTCGTGACGCCACGCAGTCCATACTCCCAGCAGTTGTGCCACTTAACCTCATCTTTCACTTAATTCACCCCATTACCTCCACTTACACATCACGATTCCAGCCTCAAACACCGCACAACAATCATCAACATTTTACCACACGAGCTATCACGACCACTGGAATTGCAATTACACACAAGCACGAATCCTCGACGTCATATCAACACACCTCTCTGTAACGGAAATCCCATTGCCTACCATCAACCGCACCTCTGCTGATTGCAAACGATACGATACCATCGTATCGCTCACCACACTCGCATCCACAAAAAATCTCCACAACGTCACCGCAAATACTCCTGAATGTAAAATTATTCCTGACCAAAATACCTTCGCAACGGCTCCACCAGTTCAGGGAAAAATAACTAGCAAAATGCACACATCTCAGCTTTTCAACCATGCCCCGACCTATCGCTCCTCGACCTCAACAGATAAGGTCACGCCTGTAGCAACACTCACCACAAACAAACCCTAGCGAAAACAACAAAAACCCTCCTGCCACCGTGTCCATATCAAGGCAAATCTCACACACACGCTTCACACCTTGGTTGCCCCAGTGGCTGCCCACGACTACGTCCCAATGCAATTGAACTAGCAGTATTCACATCTCCGCAACCCCCCACTCCTCAACCTACAGCTCCTGTCAATCTACAAGCTCCAATTCAACGCCTCCAATTCCTCAGAGGAGCACCCAAAAATTGTAAAGCCTATTTTTCGAATCTCTCGCGCACTCCAGGGTTATGTCGCATACCTGGCCGAACTGCAGCTGCACTGGGGTGACGGTGGCAGGAATGGTCGCCGTGGATGCCATGAATCATGCGTCGATTGGCTCACGGATTCGATCAAACACGACGGCCGAAGAGCGGAATGTCCATCGGACACAAACATTAATTTATGGCAACGACCTTTATTGATACCCTCGTATGGGTCCAATATCTACTACAGTCCCAGACGTCGTGAAGTTAGCCGTCGAGAGAGTCTCTTTCGTTGACGCCGGAGGATCCCACCTGCTTCCCTCATCGGCGCAATGAAGTCGGGCTCTACTCGACGAGGATCGAGCCCCGGATGAGAAACTCGCGCATACTTGCCTTCACACGCTACCGTCGTGTGCTTCTCCATCGTACTCCATCGGTCCTCGCATCCTCGCACGGTCAATCTCGGCCCTAAATCCGAGAAATCTGGACGGGGCCTGTTCCTCAATGGAGCCCCGGACGGCTACAAAGCTGCTTCCAATCACCTCATAGTGATGCAAACAGTGGCCCGCAAGGGGCTTCATCAACGGAAGATAAAGTGCAAGATAAGCGGTGCTTTCGTTGGGAGGAACCTATTGTGAATTGGTAGCGAGGGAGGTGTTCTCTGAAAGTCGTCGGTCGACGTGGTGTTAATTGCAAAAAGCATCAACAGGCGTTCCTCCTCAATTTTTGTCGTGTCGCCGTCTAGGGCCGGTGGGAGCAACTTGTTCTTCTCACTCCTTCACACTTCCAAACCAGGTAAAAAACATAAGTGGCGGTATTTCGACTCATCCACGGCGCATCGCAACGCTCTCGCTTATCATCTTTCCTCGGTCGATTCCTCCTCTCTGGTTGCTGCTGACATGATCTTAATCCATCTCTTCTCACCGTTTTTTGGCTTGAACGATTCTAGGCACGCGTTGCATCCATGGAAATTGTCTTCCACGCCTCGGGAAACGACAACGCTGTGTCAAAGTCGCCCCTCACTAATCACGTGTCCTAATCGTGTCCAGAATATCGTAACCCCCGTTGGAAACTAGAAAACACACAAACAAACAAATTACAGGAGCCGTCGCTGCTGACGACGTCGTGATAGTACATGTTATTATCACTAACAACAAATAATGATAGTTACGTTTCTTTTTCAATTTTGTAACAAAGTTTTATAGCTTGCATTTAATATTCTTGTCTCCTAGGTTGGATAGATGACAAGTAGTAGATTTCTTAGCCAAATTCTAAGTGATGTGACAAGGTATCCAATTTGGATAGTTTGATGTAACTGTGAATTTTAATATTTGTTGGTAGCTTAAATTTCGCTATCTAGATTGGATTGAGAGGTCTAAAAAATCAATTGTTCAGAATAAAGTTTGTAGTCAAAGGAGATTTTGGTAAAGATTCATGGTCAAAGATTTCTATACTTTGATCGTACCATTCAAGTAAGGTTTATAGTTAAAGATTTCTGCAGTAGGTCAAGATGTTCTTATGATGACATGCTACTCAATACTTTAATGGTACCATTTAAGTAAAATTTATAGACATACTTCTATTTGGAATTGTTTTTTATTTTTATTTGTACCTTGGATAAAAAATGATTCAAAACTTGTATATGATTTACTTTCTTTCTTTGATGCATTTATAATTATATTTAGAGAATGCAATTAAAAAAGAGAAGTAGAAACAAAACATTAGTGTCTGTAATAAGAATCATATTCAATTACTATCTATGTTTCAAATTCTAATAACTAATGATATAGATTAGAATAGTAGGGCTTTTATTAATCAATTTTGATATGGTTTGAAAGATTATATCAAAGATCTAATATTGATAAGATAAAAATAGATTTCTTAAAACAAAATTTTACTCAAACAATTGAATGTAACAATTAGCTTTTTAAAAGATGCCAAGAACAAAGACCTGGTTTTAAAGGGACAAATTAAGTAATAGCAACAACTTCAAAGTCTTTGTAAAGATATTTATCAAGACCAAAATTTATACAAATTAATATAATCTAAAATCAAGTGATTAATATTAGTAAAAAACCAAATATCATTATAAAAATTTGTATGTATATTATGGAAAAACAAGTCATAAAATATAAGATTGCCACATCAAATCAAGTAGATTTAATATATAGACTACAAACTTAAATATGAAAAAATAAGAAAACGAAGATGTCTAGTTGCAATAGAGACCTTAAAATTCAACAATCATAGACCACAACTATCAAATATAAATCTCTTGCTACTATCAAATATTTTACTATGTTTTAAACTTATATTTTTATAAACTTAAGTTATAAAGTTTTAGCTCAAATTCTTTTTTAATACTAAAATTTTAGCATGTTTTATAGATTAGGACTTTGAATTAAAGAAAATTAATAAATTTAGAAAAAATATATTATTATATTTAATAGAATTTATTAATATATAAATAATTCTATTTTAAAAAATTATAAAAAAATTCAAGCTATTAAAAGTGGTGCTAAAATATTAGAGTCTAAAAATTTCTTTAACATCATTTAATGTCCTTCAAATCTAATGGAACTTTGCCTTTATTGGTTTGAATTATATAATCTTAAAATTAATTGGTAATTATAAAAGATTACTAAAAGAATTAGTCCAAATACCAACAAATTGCTTTGATTTTTATTTATTAGAATTGAGACATTTATCCGAGTTGGAAAATAAGAAAATATATTTGATATTTATATAGAACCAAGTACTTATTCAAATAAAGGTTGAAATAGAATCTTAAAGCAATGAAAAGAATATCTATGTACTTCAAGCATAACTTGACTTTCTAGGAACATAAAATTTTATATATTTTAAGCTTTGGAGCTGATTTTACAAAATGTTTTTAATGACCTTATATGTAGTAATATATTGAAATATTTATTTAATCTCACCACACTTATTCTAAAGTAAGACTCCACTTTTTTGATCCTACAAACTTTTTTATCTTCTACCAATTTTTAAATAGCCTTAGTCATTTGTTTCAATGAAAATTACTATAGGTTTTTCTATCTAAATTTTTATGCCTTTGTTTTGTGACAATGGATTATCAAACCAAAATGGCACATTTTATACTATATATAAAATTTGGAATTAATAAAAAATAGCTAAAAATAATTGATAATATTTATTGAAATTATAAACTTTTAAATATCATTATATCTAATCAAGTGCCTTCATATACATGAAGGTTTTAGAAGATGTTTTTTGACAAATTAAAGATTGATAACAAGTTATTTTTAATTTTTTATCTTCAAACTAATATATAAATAAAATATTAAAAAAAATATTTGTAATATACTATCAACTATCTCTTAGTCAACTTTGTTTTATTATTTGCAAAAATATTTATAATAATACAAGATATTTATCTACTAAATCAATTTTTTTAATTATAATAATTATCTATAATTATATATATATATATATATATATATATATATATATATTAAAGTTGAAAGCTTAATAACAAAACATTCAGAAATTAAGATAGAATAGTAGAGATTCAAATAAAAATAAACATATAACTTAACAAGGCTCAAGAAAGACAAAAAATAAATAAAGTCATTCTTAAGAAATAATAACTTCTATTTAAAGTTAAAAATATGATATACTTACTCCATTGTAATTTCAAAGAGTAATTAATCTTTTAAAATATTAGATTATTAAAGATTTAGTATTTCTATTATGAAAAAAATATTAAATATATTACATAATACTTGCAATTACCAAAATCAATAAATATTTATTATATATTCTATATATCTCTTTTCAAGTCTTATTTAAAATCAACATTTTGCAAAGAAAAAAATTACTAATACCCTCTATAGAAATTAATAACAACTAAGAATTTAAAGTAGAAGATGTTGAGATTTAAGGCAATGCCAAAAAAAATTAAAATATCTTATTCATTAATACAAATATAATATTAATAAATATATGTAAGAATCATCCAAAAATCTAAAAAATATATTAAGAATTTTTATAGTTTTTTAATAAGAACATCCATAAAAACCAATGATTAACTATTGACAACAATTCTTAAGATGAATTTGTTATTTGTTAATTCAAGACTTCAAAAGAAGTTCTATAAGTTAATTCTCAAACTTGTTTCTTATATTTTTATACCATCTTACTAAATGAAGTACTTAACTTACCTTAATCTACATAACATCAAAATTGAGATGAAGATTCTTTATAGAGACATGTCCTTCCTTGAATGGATAGTAAGATATAATGTGTGTAATACTATAATCTTAAAAGAAATAGACAATACTTATAGATACTATTGGAGGTGGTTACTACACTTGATAGCATTGAAAATGTGTTATTTAAAAGTAAATGTGAAGGTCTCAATAATGATCAAATAATTAGGTAGATTTATTATTATAATATAGAACATTATTAATAGCTGAAGAGACGCATTAATTACTTATGTAGAAAATAAGGATCACAATTTGGAGTTGATACCATTTAACAAATTGTAGACTTTATTAAATTTTTAAAAACTTAATTAAACTTATTTTTAAAAGAGAATTAATGAAATAGATGCCTATATTATTTTTAAAAATAAAAATAAATAAAATTAAGTAAATTTATATAAAATACATTTGATAGATAATATCTTTATTCAAAAACTTTGAAAAAAAATTCACAAATGCAAATTAGTTCGTGAAATTTTTATAGATATGTCATTTTACTATTGAAAGTTATCCTACAAACTTCTTTCTTTTGAAAAGTTGCATTAGAAGCAAAGTGCAACTTGAAAATTAAGCCACAAGTATTATGATTTATAATAAGCTTCTATAAAGTCTTTTCGATAACTAGTATATATAGAGATAAAAATGATGCCTTCTTTAATCTTGTCAATAAATTTCCTACATCTTAATCTTGATTAAAGAATATTTAACTTCTTTATATTTAGCACTAGTAATTCTAATTCTTTTTATGCTTATATGAAAAAAATAACTTTATTTTTTCTTTTATTTTTATTATATA